ATATATATATTGTAAACCTTGAACTATCTATCTATCATGACAGCTGGTTTGATTTCATATGATTATTTTTTAAGATTCACTCCATAATTGTCCAATAAAAACTATCATTTCCGTTATCTTCGGATCGTTACCGTAAAATGAAGATATATTATTATTAACTATTATGACCCCCGCATTTCGTCATTTCCATGTCAACTCCCTTTCGTGAATCCCACGTGTCGCGCTTGAAGTTTCCATTGCGCGCCATAACATCCGTGATAAGCCCCCGTTAAGCGGCGCACACGGAGGTGATTAAGCTGCTAACGACCTCCAACGATCCGACACGTGCACCGTGGCCTCTGACTTGGCCAGGAACCACCAAAATATCATTCCAGAAATGTAACCGCCGGCCTCACGTCGCAAGCATCCTACCCCAACGGACCGACGGCTCTGATCGCCCCTCGCGCATCGACTACGATATCTCTAATAAACCACGAACCAGTGGAAATCTTCGTCATCATTCTCTCTCTCTCTCTCTCTCTCTCTCTCCACCCTCTTTTTTTCCTTTCCTCCTTTTATTCTTAATTTCGTTCGGTGGAAAGAACGGAAGAGCGAAAGCAAAAGGCGGAGATCGGCAACAGGGGCGATTCTTTCTCCGTTTCCTCCTCTTTCTCCTCTCCTCATTTCGAATTCGCGTAAGCTCGCGTCTTCTGGTGTTTTACCTCGACTGCCCTCTGCTAAGCCATTTTTTTCTTCTCTGTCTTTGATTCGGTTCCGTTGCGTGTTCATTAGCTTCGATCTGATCCGGTTCTACTCCAGTTCTTGATGGTTTTCGCGTTTGGGTTGGGGATCGAGTGTTGGTTTGTTGCGGTTGGTGTCTGCGGAATCTCCTGATGCTTCTTTTCCTTCCTTCATCGCCACGTTCTGCGAACGTCGATTTCGCTTGCTTGATTTATTTTATGATCCTTCTGTCGGACGTTTTCTTAATGTTTCACGCTTTGGTCCATTACTCGTGATTCGTGGTTTCGAAACCACTTGTCTCTGCTTGAAATCTTCTCTACATGCGTATATCTTCTCGTAGCATCCAATAACCTCGTGGGGGAGGCTTCTTTGGTAAGAATTGGCGATTCGAAATCGGTTTTTGAGAGCTTGTGGTAGCAAAATTCTTATCTTTCTTGCTGAAGAGACAATAGGGTTCTGTTCTGGCTTCAGGGGATAAAGAAACAGCGAGCCTTTCAATGGCGGACCGCAGTCGTGCCTTCTGCATTGAAGAGCTGCCCGCACATTTAATTCTGGAGATATTGAGCTGTGGGCGTCTAGGGGCTGCCGACCTTGCATGCCTCGAGGCAACTTGCCGGATGTTTCGTGGTGCCGATGGGCTATTTCCCGACAAATTCCGGTCCTTGGTTGAGTTTGCTGCATTCCACATTTGTAATGTACACCCAATATTCGGTTCCCTCCCACATAATGCACGTGCAAACCTGCTTGATCGCTGTAATGGGAATTGGAAGAGACTCCTGAGGTTCTTGCAGTCTGTGGAGCAATCTTCCAGCAGCGTTGAGACATCAGCAGGCAATGTATATCTTTGCTAATACGTACACTGTTTGTATATTGCGACAAGATTATATACATGGCTGGGACATTAAATGTTTGCCTATGCTTATCTGAATATTTATATGCTTTATGCTAATCCTTAAGCCATGACATCTGAATTTGTTTCTCTGAATTTCCTAAAAGATGATGAATATCCGCATACAATACTGTTGGTAAGTTGCTTTAGTAATTTAAAGAGAATTCTTTGATATTTTTTGATAATTTTGTATTATTTTTTGCATCATAATGTTTGTAGAGACAAAGCTGCTCCTTTTTATTCTATATAAACATCTATAGCCTTTCATTGAATTGGTTAATTGTGTTAGGTAGATTGTGATTTATATGCCCATCGTTTGATTGAGATCAACCATGAATCAACCGGATCACTGTTGGTCTCGAACAACCCCTGTGGTAGTCTTGAGGGCTACCGGATCAGGCAATTTCCATCTGGGAGGTCCTGTTGATCCAGCTGATCCACCAATATGAGTGATCTCAGCCAATCTTTGTTCATCTCAAAGTTCTTAAATGCACAATCTAATTCGACCTATCTGTGTGATCTGAATCGATCCTGATTCTATGTCCTGTAACTGATCTCAAATCTGATCAATGACTTTTGAGCCGGAAAGAGCATTTGAACTAGAAACTTTCATATTGTAAAGGCTTGCAATTGTTAACTACTTCTTGTGCCATAGTTATTTGGTATGTCGGTACCATACTGATTTACATGCACAGTGATCTTAAACTAGTTGGTTCTTACTCCTTCCTAGATTATTAATAAACTATAGCAGAAGCAAATGCCTCTGTTTGTCTAAGATGCAGTAATTCATTTATTTAATTATGATAATAGTTGGCATGTTTGTTAAGCCATTCAAATACTATGTTCATGTTAGTCCTGTCCATGATGTGATTACCAATTATAGGCATATGTTGTCCTTTTGTGAGTAGAACCATCAACAACTTCTATTAATTATGTTCCCTGGAAAATCTGTTCAGTAATAAAAAATGATCATTCATTCCCAAACATAAGTAAAGTTTTTCAATTAGGGCATTTTCGACCAGTTCTATGCATTTTTGCAAGGATGTGATAAAAATTATGATCAGCACAAAGAGTAACTGGGGTCAGTGTTCAAGATCAAACAACGTTAATGTATATTTGGGTTGTCATGGGCACTAGGAGTAATTTCTAGTTCTCGGGGCGGTTCTATAGTAAGTAATATAGAAACTACTTTGTTGTATGGATTCTTATAGAAAACACTAAACTACTTACCTGCTTGTAAGGTCCCTCTTAGTCTGACCTCTTGAAAGTTGAAAATTTCATATTTTTATACCATCTATTGAGATAACAATTACATTCTAGGACATTAGTGATGTCAGTTACTCTTAGCTGTGAGGTTTATGTGTTGACTTAATTGCTGAATATGGGTTCCTAACCTTTAGCTTGATGTTGGATTCCAAGTTATGTGCTTTCTGATCATTTCTTTGTCACAAGACACTCTTAACATTTTTCACGTATAAAGACTTGCTGCATTTAAACTATAATGTTGTCAATGTACGAGAGTCTTTTCTCTGATTAAAAGATTCCTACGTATAGCATAGTTTATTATTTTTATTTTTTTCTGTATAAGCACATTAGATCTGCATTTACCTTTTGGCTAATGTGATCTTCATTATGCAGATGCAGGTAACCACCGGAAGATATCATACACTCTTAGTTCACAACTCATCCGTGTATTCATGCGGATCCAATTTATGTGGGGTACTTGGTCATGGTCAAGATACAACTCAATGTGCTGCATTTAGTCGCATTAATTTTCCTTCCCTCTCTCATGTCATCCATATTTCAGCCTCTCACAACCATGCAGCATTCATTACACAGTCCGGAGAGGTAATTGTATGAAATTGATGAACTTTTTGTTTTGATTTTTGGCTGAACTTTTTGTTGCTTTTTAGGTGTTCACTTGTGGTGATAATTCATCATTCTGCTGTGGCCATGGAGAAGTTGGTCGGACCATATTCAAGCCTACTCGCATTGAGGCACTGAAGGGGATTCCGTGCAAGCAGGTATATCTCCACCTTCATAGTAAGTGTACAAATGTGTTGCCAAATGACTACGTGGTAGTCCACACTCCCCACTTTCAGCATCGAGGGATATCTTGTATCATAGTGTCATGACAAATTGTTCAAGTGTTTTTGGTAAGCTACAAAGATAATCATACTTAAGAGGAAAACCTAGTATTTATGTTAGGATGGAAGTTGGTACCTCACAGGCCAGTGAGGTTAGATAACACTGGAAACTTATTTTTCTCTTTTTTTGTTTGCTGACTATACTTACATTTTTAGTTCTGTATGTACAATTGTGACTTGCTGGGAAATGGATCAGGCAGTTGACCAATGGGAAAATGAAATATCATACTATGCATGATGAGAATGTGATCAGTGAAGTATGAATGAAATTGCCAAAGAAGTTCACTTTGGGTTTGTGATTTCTCAAGTATTCTTAGCAAGGTAATGTATTCTAGGATTGGTGGTTCCTAGCAAAGTCTTAGGAGGGGTGGGTTTATTGCAGTTACCTTCAACATTCTGTAGACTGTAGGGACTGATTTAATTGTGAAGGAAAATGAATATAGAGAACGAGTGAAGATAGAAGCCATACTTGGACAAAATTTCTTTGGTAAAAAACCAGATATGAAGCTTGAGAGCTAGTTATTGACAACAATATTAATAGGAGAAAGAAAGAAACAAGTAAGAGGTAGAATCTGCTTATCCAGTAATAGACATAGATGTAAACTAATGTTATTATTATAGTAGTGAACCACAAAGGTAAGTCGAGCATTCTATAATTAAGATCTGTTGAGTAAGTTCCTTGATACCAAAGACTTCAAATAGTTTATTAAAAGACATTGTTGGGAATTTTTTTGTCAATTTGTTGGGATTGCAAGCTTTCAGTTGGTGTGTTATTATCAGGAAATTTCTATTGCTAAAGGTATTAATTCTAAGGATGTGTTGTCACTACACATGTATTCTGAATTTTGTCTGTTTGTGCATCAATTCACTTTCCATTAAACTTGAGTGGTGCTTTGTTGTGTAACTATATGCCTTCGTTGGTTTCCTATCCACCGTATGTGAGAAGGCATAATCGTGTTACCAAAGTTTCTAAAGTGCTATTCATTTGTCAAACTATTTTCTATTTATTTTTCAGGTTGCCACTGGGTTAAGTTTTACTGTGATTCTTACAATGCGAGGCCAAGTTTACACATGTGGGAGTAATGCACATGGCCAACTTGGTCTTGGTGATACCATAGACAGGCCTACTCCTAGAATTATTGAGCTCTTTGAGGGGCTGGGACAAGTGGTTCAGATTGCTGCTGGTGCAAGTTATACCTTTGTTGTCACAGATGATGGAACAGTTCATTCTTTTGGTTCCTGTACCAACTTTTGCCTTGGTCATGGAGATCAACATGATGAACTTGTTCCACGTGCCATCCAGTCCTTTAAAAGGAGGAATATTTATATCCAACGTGTCTCTGCTGGAGATGAGCATGCATTGGCCCTTGATTCAAGTGGATATGTATGTATACTATTAACATTTTGATAATTACAAATTGGCATTCCCAGTTGCAGGTTCCTTCTAACTTCCATTTTATCTCTGGAAGTTAATTAAATAACTATTTCTGCAGGTATATACATGGGGTAGAGGCTATTGTGGAGCCCTAGGCCACGGTGATGAGAATGATAAGACTAGTCCAGAATTATTGACCAGTTTGAAGGGTCACCTTGCTGTACAGGTTTGATGTATTTGCTTTCCTTATTCATCCATGTCAATTCAAACAGATTTTTGGACCTATACGCAAAGAGTATTGTATAGAATATGTAGCGGTCTTGATAATTTTCTTGTACAACGTGGAAGTGGTAAAAAGAGACAAATGAAATAGTTTTAAAAAATTTAATGGTATTTATGCACGATAGAATTGGATATTAGTCATCATTCAAGATCCTATATCCTATAAAATAATTGAGGCATCAAAGCAAACATTATTGTATGTCATGGTTAGCCATCCTTTTTAGTAATTAATAATGCTTTTAAGTATGAATCTATTGATCAGGGATGTGAATTATTTATCATGAGTTTTTAGCATGTAAGCTCATTAAAATTCAACTGACTAATTAGAAAAAGGTTGAAGAGTTAGCAATATCGTAGCTATTTATTATGAGGGTAGGAAAATTTTGTTGGTTAACAATTGGTTATCAAACCACCAAATTTTTTTGGTTAGCTATTGATTATCAAACCACCAATTGCAAGATCACAAAAATTGGATATATGTTTACTACTGAGTATGGTTGTCTCATCTCTTGATTATAACATTCATCATGGACATCTATTATGATCATCACACTTGCATTCTTTCTCCACCATGAATACTGTCATTGCTTTAGTGATTTATTTGCTAGTTTGTTGTAGTTTGTTGTTTGCTTTCTGCTTTGTGTTTTTGTTATTTTACTTGTGCTTTTCCATGATGTATGCGCCCTTATTGAACTATTAGCTGTAATGAGAGAAAAAGTGAACTAGTACTTATAAAAAAAGGATAGTTCAATGCATGAGTGTCCCTCCATGTGGGGTTTGGTATCATCAATCTACACAACTGTATCTCTCTATAAGCAAAGATATTGTTTATGTGATTCAAACTCTTATCATCCAAAGTGCAAAGGATGGATCAGCCTTGCTATTATACAAAGCTTACACTCTTTGATACCACAGCAAATATTAATTCTAAGAAACCACTCTTGAATTGGTTTCTTGTATCTCAAGTATCACCATGCTTGTTTTGACAATAAAGTTAAGTTATTGATTGTTTTGTTGGCCACTAAAATGTGCAGGTGTGCGCAAGGAAAAGAAAAACTTTCGTACTCACGGATGAAGGTTCAGTTTTCGCCTTTGGATGGATGGGTTTTGGTAGTTTAGGATTTTCTGATAGAGGAAGCTCTGACAAAGTCATGAAGCCACGTATTCTTGACAGCTTGAAATCTCACTATGTATCCCAAATCAGTACTGGACTCTACCACACGGTCGGGATCACCAATAGAGGTCTAGTATTTGGCTTCGGTGATAATGAGAGGGCACAACTGGGGCATGAAAAGATACGAGGTTGCTTAAAGCCAACAGAAATAGCAGTTGGGAAGATGGTGGATGATATGCCAATTGCAGCACCTAGCAGTTGAGAACTCCTTTGTTTTCTTCTTTGAGGTGCCTATCTTGCTGCTTATGTTTTGTATTTCAATGTATTTAGTCCAGCTGACAATGGAACATTTGATTGTTTTGATCCTATATTGTTCTCCATATAGTTCGACGGAGAAATCTTTAGATTTCATGAACTAGGATAATGTAGTTTGACAGAGCCCATGTTAGTCATAAAATGTAGTCCACAATTTGCTCTTGCGAAGGTAAACAAATTGTTTTAGTTCTTTTCAATTTGTTTGCACAATTTTTTGTATAGATGATTGGTTGGAAGGTAGTTTGGACTCTTTAAAGGTGAAACTCTTCATTTGGAAGTTATGTGGCATCGATTCCCAACTTTCTTTGTGTTGTGTATATATATATATATATATATATATATATAATATAGGAATGAGATGGTTTAGATTGATTTTAACCTGGTGATTATGAATTTTTCCTATTCAATACCAAATCATATAAAATTTGCATTATGATTTGAAATGGATTTGCATGAAATCTCTAGTATTTTCATTTTCGATTGCTATAAGAACAACAATACCATGAGCTTGGACTTCTGTTGATATAAAAACATCACTTTCCATGTCTTTTGGATTCAATTTATAGGGGCTTGCTCGTTTGGTCTAAGTGTTTACATATTCTTTTATTAAAAAAAAAATTCATTTATTCGAACAAAATAGTTTTGATGAATATTGCTAGTTTTATGTATGTTGATTGGTTGGAAGGTGGTTGGAAGGTGTGTGTGTATATATATATGTATATATATATATATATATGTATATGTATGTATACAGATATATGTATATATGTATATCTACATATTAACTTTGATCATAATTGTTCTAACGTTTTTGAAAATTCTCTTTTGATGGAATCTATTAACTTTTGCAACCACATATATGAAATTTTTGGTGGTAATTATTAGTATTAGTATTAGTATTATTATTATTAGTATTATTATTATTATTATTATATATATATATATATATATATATATATGTCTCGTTATTATGAAATTATTATATTTATATCCAAGGATTAACTTATCTCGTTATTATGAAATTACTTTTACACCCCTCATGCTATGTCCTCTTTTTTGCTTTTTTTGCTTCCCTTGCTCAAAGACCACTAGTATCAAAATCTTTGTTCTCTCGAGACCCTGATGAGCGCTGAGCTCACATACTGTGGTTGCAATGCTCTATCGATGGATGACGTTGGGTCGTACTCTCCCAAACTCGAAAAGAGGTTACTTTGCCTGCCTCGCCCGCTTCGCTACGTTCCAGCTCCGTAGCCCCGTCGACGCCATGTCCCTCTCCGGCCTCCTCGGCCTCCCCCAATCTTTTGGGTTCGTTCGCTTTCGCCCTCGTCTTTTCTCCTTGCCTCCTCTTATTTTGGATGCCAATCTTGATCGTTGCTGCGTTCTTTTCTTGGATGCGGTTCTTGATCAGGTTCAGGTTCGCAGAGTCAAATGTACGTCTTTTCTGGTTCTGAGTGGCATTACTCATTGTAAGTCAATCATTTTTCTTTTTGATCTTTTCTGTGTGTCTTTTGGTTTGAACTTCTTACTCCATAACAATCTTCGTTTCTCTGTTCTTGGCAAATGATGTATTGTCGTTCTTAGTTTCTGTAGGTATTTGTGATACTAGCTCCAATTTTCACTACATGTGAACATCTCAAGTCAAAGTACTTGTGATGCTTGCACCCATGACCAGGAGAAAATGACAATGCATTCATCTTTCTAGAAGGAATCGTCTTACCCATGTCCCATTCACAAATTTTGCCTTTAGGAATTCATCATAATCTTTAGGAATTTTCTTTTAAGCTAAACGTGACATAGAGTAGAAGATTAGAAGGGTCTCCTTTTGCAGTTCTTTGCGTATGTTTAAAATGGGACTTCATTTTCTGAGATGGGAACCATACTTTTTTGTCCTGATATGAAGACATTAGACAAAGATAGTGAAGTTTCTATCTTCAGATTTTTGGTATATTGGATCATGACCAATAACCGCCTATATTATAAAGGAAGGAACACAAATAAGATAAGTCTGGTCAACTTTCTTCGTCATCTGAACTGACCAACAGTCTTATTATATTCATTCATGTGGTGTCTTCCTGTTCCCAATTTGCTATTTGTTCATGTGATTCAAGATCTCTATTTCATATCATGCCTCTAAGAAGTCTTCACATATTTGGTCAATTGTCTATGCCGTGTTGCTACATATAATAAATACCATGAGATTTTGTTATCAAACAGGCACAGTTGACACCTCTGATACTCACCAACTTGATTTTGTTATCAAACAGGCACAGTTGAGCTTGAAGTAAACAAGCTCATGAAAGGAAGGCCCCCTGGATAATTTGGAGTTCATGCAGTGTAGTGGATGGATGAAGAGATACTGTGATTCTGCATGGTGTCTTGCGCAAGTAAATTCTGTTGCCTTGACACTATAATGATACCCTGACAATTTTAAACTTCAAAATCCCATTACACATAGGCAGAAGAAAGATAAAACAATTTCTTTTCACACTGGAAAATATGTGAGCATATGGTCCATTAATTATTTGAGACATCCGTACCTCCACTTCAGGATCAATTATAGTCATGCAATATCCGTGATTGGTGCAATCAAATCTAACAAGGTTTATAAATTTTATTTGTTGCAAGTAGGTGCATTTGACTGATATATCTCTCGTCTAAATATAATGCTGTGGAGAGAAGGGATGATGCTTGCAAAGGTGGGAATGAAGCAAACAAGAGGTCAACACCTTTCCAGTTATCAGCCAGATCCTGGTCTGCTGCTGCCCTTAAAACTCAAACCTTGCGATTCACAAAAAAGAATGATGGGCATGCTGGAAATGGGTCACATGAAGGCACGAAACTTGCTGCAAGTTCTGTAGCTCAAGATCATGATGAACAGGTAAGTTGAGTTGACAATACAGATGGGGAGGTAAAGCGAAAAGAGGACATGAAGAGGAATAGGAGGAAAGGGCAAAGGACGAAAAGAAAAGAACATAGGAGACAAAGGAAAGATAGGAAGAGTGAAACGAGACAGAGGATGAAAGGGTGATAGAAGAAATGAAGGGGGGCAGCTAGGAGGATGATGTGGAGGAGGCGGAGAGAAGGAAGGGGACGATAATAAGGAAGACAAGGACAAAAGGAAGAGACAAAGGAGTGGGAATAGAAAATGGAGGAAGAAGAAAAGGAAAAGATAAAACAATGATCTCTTATCATCGACAGTTAAGAAGCAACAAGCTAACTTATAAGTGATGATTTATGCAACGATACATTTCCTCAATGGAGATGGTAAGCCATGATTTTTTATTGACATCAGATGGAATAATCCCAGTTACCACTCAAAGAGTAAATGACAAACGACTGACCTCTACATCCAGCAACGAATCATGCATGCCTCTCAACTGATCAAGCCCTATCGACAAAGATCTGCGATGAGATTGATGTAACAAGCTTCGATTAGAAGAAAACCCAATGCAAAAAAAGCTGTTTAACAAAATAATCACAGTTTCCTCTCAAGAGGAAATGACAAAGGGATGACCTCTACATCCGGCAATGGATCATACACTTTCTTCTCACGAACATCAAACACTGTTACCCCAGATATTTTCTGAACTCCTAACCTTGGAGCGATCATGTTCTGCCCAAACATTCGATTCAAAGGTCAGCCACAGGTTGCAATTCTTTTGAAAAATAAAACCATTCATCATATCTCAAGGCTGACCATCTGGCACACATTTCTTACCAGTTCAATAATGTTGGAATCAAAAGCTTCTACTGGTGGAAGCACCTGTTGTGATATTCAAAAGACAAGAATTAGCATGTGAAAAATTATAAAGAGACCATCTCTATGATCAACCTCATTACCCGGGACATACGTGAAAACCTAGGTTCACATTTTAACTAAATAAAATTCTGGATCAGTTATGCGACACTTTATTTATTTATATTTTTTATTTATAAAAAAAGTGCACATCTGCATCCATGTAACCAACCATCATTAATGGTATATATTGAACAAAACCATTCGCTCCCTATGCCAGAAAGAGATTATATTTAAAATTTCTCTATCTTCGATTTACCATCCCACATCTTATGCAAGATTATGTAACAAACACATTAAGTTTGCAAAAAGGATTAACTGTATACAACCAATATTCTCATCAGACCACCAATCATTTTGAAAAGGAATACTATGATTTTCCCATAGCCCTAATTAAAAAGAAAACAACTAAGAATCTAAGTATCCAAAACCAATGCTCTTCGATATGTGCATATTGTATATCAACTATTATCAATCAGGTTTCTTACCAACTTCTGGATTCCATTAACCATGGCAACCTTCTCTTCACTAGAAATGCCTGGAGATGTAAAGATTTCAAAGGGACCTAGAGTTCTCTCTGTCTGATTTTTGAGAGACAGATGTACCTGAAAAGTTTCAATACAAAAGTAACAACACAATTTATCAGGATGTGTGCATAAGTCATCAAACCGAAAACCAGATAATGAACATATAGTTAGCATCAATTACTGACCCGTGTAATAATATAAGAAAAGTGTATCGGATCTCAAACATTTGCTAGCAAGGGAAAAAGCAATTCAATTAATGAGTTTCTGGTGGCTAAATTATTTTTTTATATACATTTTTATGATGAAATGAAACAAATACTTAATTTATCGGTTGGTCTTTTCTATAGCATCTCAGCCTATATTGCCAAAGAGCAATTCTCATCCTCAAAGATGGCCCATAGTAAAGATCATTGACAGGTCTACTAGATACCATGAATCAATGAGCAAGGAATAATGCAGTAACATGAGAGGGTTCTATGGAACGACCTTTTCAAAATCACTCATTCTTAAGGCTAGTAAACATTACAAAATAGCTCAAGAAAAAGCATATATTGTATAAATCAATAAAATGTTGTTCTTCGATCATCATTCTATTATAGGATGCGTGCAAAATAGTAAAATAGATAATATAGTCCATTGGAAACATATATCTGCAATTTGAATACTCAAATTATGCAAGAGTTAAGTCATATTCTACCTTTGTTCAAGTGAATGTACTTAAGCTCTATAGACCTAGAAAGTGATTAAGAAAGATGGGTAAACCAGCTCACACTAGGACAAACCATCCTTCATGGTCATCTCATGAAAAGCTTGTCAAAGATTGGAAACATATATCTGCAATTTGAATACTCAAATTACGCAAAAGTTAAGCTCTATCAATAGAGCTGAAGATGATAAAGAAAGATTTGACACGCTAGGACAAACCACCCTTCATGGTCATCTCATGAAAAGCTTGTCAGGAATTAGATAAATAAAACAAGCAGCAGGATTTTACAACTTTATGATAACATTGCAACACCTAAAAGCAACAACATTTTCTCTCCAAGATCAAAATTATTTATGCCTCCATAAAGCAAAAGTGGCCCACTCATTTTAGTTAATTTCCTTGTTTAGGCAATTAACCATGTCCATCTGCAATAGAAGATCCTTGGTCCATGAATAATATATAGTAGTTGCAGAATTTGAAAACCATACAACTATTCGAGTTAATAAGCAATAGCCACATCTAAATGCACAATAAACTACCAGATGCTTACCAGAAATGGTCTCTCCAGCACGATGATGGGTGGAACATCGAGAATATGCAAGTCAATGTCCTTGTGAACAATTGGCTGCTTAAAAAAAAACCTCAATTTCTAAATAGTTGAGTATATTTGAATGGTATAATATGTAAACAAACTCCAAACTGAGTATATTTAGATCGATAACCAGAGCCAGAATCAGCGGGTTAAAAACACATGAGAAATTAAAGATAACTAATTCATGTGCATCTACATAATTGCACTGCATCCACATGTATCTTCTAAAGATTAAACCATAGCAAAAAGGCATTAGCTCATATTGGAATCTCTTTTCACAGAAAAAGCATAAGACTATGCTTGCTACTTTTTCTAGATGAGAGAAAGATAAGCTTAGGGTAACATAGGTACAAAAAATCTCAATAAAAAGGATATCATGGAAAGAACATTTTAGCTGCATAACAAATAATAAATAAACAAACATATAAAAAAAACAAATTGTCAGGATATTATGACTTCTTATTGTATACGAAAAACAAAATCAAACTTGTAAGAGAATAAAGGGACTTTTTATAAGGTACCATATATTCAATTTTCAGAAAATAAAAAAGAAAATCTGCGCAAAAAAAGGTGTCATTTGATTTTTTTTATTTGCATCGGTGTTGTTTTTGACCTAAATTGGGACATTTGAACACTTTATAATAGGAGAAGACACTATGTAATTTGCCACAATAACGGCATTTGGAAGTATTACTAAACTGAGAAGAATCAAAATGTGCCTACGTGTCCATTAGTAAGGCCAGATGATCACCATTACATTACATTTCTGTATCTGTCGCTATAGTAGCAACACTGCAAACAACTACCAATCTAGCTCAGGGAGCAGTTTGTGGAAGATTCTACACATGAATTAATTAAGCAAGGAACTACAGCTGAAGGAATTAAATAAATTTGCTCAATGATCATTTTTCTTATGCATTTACTAGATGAAGACGATTTAGGATTTTTAATGCAACTATATTTTTAAGCTTGAAAATAAAATACAGCAAAATAGCAACTAGGGTCTCATGTACTAACAGTGCCATAAATTTGCTGAGTCTGAAGTCGTCCAGGTTCACCCAAGTTTGTACGCCATGTTATCTGAAATTTACCAAGAATACTGCTGCTATCAACCCTTACTCGTCCAGATTCAACTGTTGACTTTAACAAATACAGATAATTGTATATTCCACCTCCAGCTGTAACAAGAATGGGTGGTTTAAATAATCCTCTGTCAAGATAATGAAGGTAATAAGTAAGAAGTCATCTAGTGCAATGAATTAACAACAATGGCTTAAATAAGAATAGCATGAAAGACAAACCAAGCCACAGTACAGCTACTTTATGTAGAAAAATTACAGGGACATAATAATTCTAGTTGTTTTCTGTTTAATCACCTTGTCTTAGAGTTGGTTTCTGAAGTGTGTTCATCAACTTCCAATCTTGTTGCAATCCATTGTTGTGCAGGTTCAAATTCGACTTGATCCATGTAAAGGTTTGACTTTGTGTGGTTCTCTATGCATGCCTCCAAAAGAGTATTGTCCTGAAATGGAGAATGTAAGCATGAACTTATTACTGCCTCAAGCAATCTGATTAGACCAAAGCTATACATCACATGCATCCATGTCACAGCATAACAATAACAACTACAAAGCCATAATGTCCCAACTATTTGGGGAACTTTAAGTTAAAATAAAAGATCAAATAATAAATTAATCTCACTAGCCATCTCACTGATCCATCCTGGTATACCGACCGACTGTTGGTACAATATGTACCAATGTATCGACACACAGTACGATGAGACATACAGATAAATCAGTATGTACCACCCGTAGTGGGCGGTACATCATAGTACAACAAACCTTGCTTCTAGCCTAACATAGATACATATCTATGCTCCATATAAAGTTTCAAAATTTCACATTTATAACAAGAAATTTCAAGATTGCATATACATCACTCTAAAGATACCTGCCTAGGTAAACTCTATCCATAAAATTTAGGTTTGACCATTGTTAAATATATTAAATTAATTTATGATATATGATAAAAAAAATATAATTATATTTAACTGCCCTCATCTTCCTTTTAAAAACATAAACTAACAAAAAGAGGCATGGTTGTCTGTCAACAGCATCATAGACTAATGCCGCTAGCACCAGCAAGTGTGGCCTCACAACTGCTGCCACCAGCAGTTGGTCAAATTGATGGTCAACTAATTAAAATTAAGCTAAGAGGCACACATGTAAGATTTTGAAGTTTGGAGGGATATAAATGTAATTCCAAAATTTAGAGTGACGAATAAGCAAATCACTATGTTTGGAAGGATATATGTGTAATTATTTAAAAAGTAAAGAAATATGCCAATTAGCTTGTCACCAAAGTTTGTTGTCCTTTTGAATTTGTTAAACAAAATCTCATTTATCATTCACAAAGCAAAATGTTTCAGAAATTCTTTTGATGAGCCAGATATTTAGTGAATTTGGTTTATTACAATACCAAAGAAATTATTGCATCAACAATAATGTTACAAAAAATACATATTCCAAGCAGTGTTCAGTCTTGCTAATATCACAGGCCTTAAACAACATTCTATACAAAATGAAGTTTATGGGCCATTTCAGTCCTTTCGGGTGAAAAGCCAAATGAAAGTAATCCATAGGTCTAATGAGCTTTTTTTTTTCTTTGACCTATTCATTCTGTGTATGTAAAAAAAATTTGAAGTGAACCAGTGTTCGATGTCTAAAAAACACAGGACATTAAGATCAAGAAAATTTGCAATCATGAAATTATTAAGTCGATTTCTATGTCTTGGGATGTTTTTAACCCGACAGTAAGATACCGCTTATCAGATCTCAATAGCCCCTGGGCTCTCATTTTTTAAGCAGATGTGAACATATAAATTTTCTTCAAACTACACAATCTCGGTAGTAGCGATAACAAACCAATCTTGTTCAAGTTTGTGCCAGGGAAGGGTTATGCAAACTGGTAGAAAAGATTATGCAAACCTCCCATTATTCCACTGCTGCTTACTGTTTCTCTTGAATTCTCAAAAGCTTGTGCGCTGCAAAGGCTTGTGTAGCAGTAAATGCTTATTATTGCATAAACCATTTGTCATAGTAGATATCTAGATCACTTCAAAGATTAATATAAATGAAGAACTTCCACAAATATGCTGCTTATGAACCCCAAAACAATTCGGTTATATAGGTTTGGTATGTGTTTGTGACATGGACCTGATAAACCAGAAGTTATTCCAGTATATACCTTAGTATAAAGTTTGGATGTTATATAAATTATTGAACCACATATAATCCTACTATACAAACAAGCTACCCTAATATAAAGAAACAAATTGCTAAAAATTGATTGGTAAGAAAAAGTCCCTTTTACTTTTTTAATGGAGATAAACAAACTATATTTCGTTAACCTCCATCTAGGAGATGAGTAAAAGCATCCAAGTATAAAATTTTTAGTGATGGATATTATCAGAGGATGACTATTCTACCCATACTAAGTCACACATGCCATTACAATAGTGAAACGATGCATAGGATGACCAACAGTATTGGTCAGTAAAGATTCCTCTTTTAGATTTATATTGACTCAACCAGTAAAAATACTAAAGAGATTATATTATGACCAGTTGAGCATTTCAATACAAATGACAGTAAGGTTGAATATGCTCAAGAGTGAGTGATCAAGGAGGGATACTGGAGAGGACTTCAGTTGTTCGGATAGGTCATCAAAGAAAAAGAGGCTCTTCCATTGGTTATAGGAAGATAGGACTCCATAAAAAAGTTAGATTATACTTTCCTTTGTGGTCTCACTTTCCTGTGAAATCTCTTTTTTTCCTCTTTCCGCTACAGCACTACTTATGTCAGGGAACGATTTGGTGAAAAGTGAAATGTTAGATGTGAGATTATCAAATATATTACTCAGTGTGGCCAAAATTTATTCGACATAATTAAAATTGGTTGGCTAATATGGAATCTAGGTTTGCTAACCTCAACCCACCTAGGACCTAGCCTAACTCACCTATTGCCACCCATATTCTCAGCCCATTTCAAGGTATATTTGTTAGACAATACGTTATTTAAGAAAAATACCCTACATGATTTACTTAATTATATCCCTGAAGTCTTGGCAATTTTTGTAAATTTCAATCAGTTCTGCTCACTACAGGCAGTTTCATAATGTTTCCATCAAATTTGGTTAGTTTAATTGACATTATCACAGAAGCAAAAAGAGGTCTACAAGTAACTTATGCCTGAAACTCTTAAAAATCAGTGCAAGGTACAGCAAGAGTCAACGCATCCAATTATATTCCACAAAGCAACAGTGTTTTAAATTCAGATGATAAAAATTAGTTCCATGACCCAAACGTTCCGTTGGTACATAGACATTATGAGTAAAAACAAATAAGATGAAGAAGTGCCCTATAAATAAAAAAATGGCATGATGCCGTGAACAAAATAGAAAAGTTGCAAGTAAATAATGCTAAACCTCTTCCAAGCACACATGAAACTATTAGAATCACCAAACAGGTACGACTTCAACTTGGGCCATTGGGATGTTTGAACATTTCACATGCAAATTAGTGCATATTATCACATAATGGCCTAGGGAAGTCATGACAGTTGGCAAATAGTCAGTGCTCTACGGGCAACAACGTAAGCGATATTTGAGCCCACTGCAGTAAACTCAATTAATTTACTTTAGTATAATCAACAAATGCTCATCAACAGAGTTCTCAACGAATGTTATACATGGAAGATAAGAATAACATATAAAAGCATCATAATAGAAACAGAAAACATAAAACATGAAAATAATGTCCGTATATTGTCTATGATGATTTATCATCCCTTATATTCATTAATTGTTGACGAAAAGACAAAGAAGACCTACAAAAGACAGATCAACAAAAAAAGGATGTGGACTTCTCTCCTAATTTTTTTTTTCAGACGACACCTCCTAATTATTTCTAACAATGCAACCCTAGTTAATTCAAATGATTATTGCAAATGGCTATGATTATGGGGGTTACAGCAGCTACTTCATATAAAACATGCAACCCTAAACTGCCATACCAACTGCTGTGGCGGCTACTATGGCTATTTTCCAGAACTGTCTTCCTAGAGTGTTTATGATGGCAGTTTACAAAATCAGGTTGGTGAGTATCAAAGGTGTCAACTGTACCTGTTTAATAACAAAATCGCATGGCATTATATGTAGCAACAGGCATAGACAATTGACCAAATATCTGAAGGCTTCTTAGAGGCATGAAATAGAGATCATGAATCATATAAACAAATAGCAAAATGGGAACAAGTGGACACCAGATGGAAGACACCACATGAACGTATATAATAAGACTGCTGGTCAGTTCAGATACCGAGAAAGTTGTCAGACTTATCTTGTTGGTGTTTCTTCCTTTATCATATAGGCACTTATTGGTCATAGTCCAATATACCAAAAATCTGAAGATAGAAAAAAACTTCACTATCTTTGTCAAATGTCTTCATATCAGGACAAAAGTATGGTTCCCACTTCAGAAAATAAGTCCCATTTTTAACATATGCAAAGCACTGCCAAAAGGAGACCCTTCTAATCTTCTATTATATATGCCACGTTTAGCTTAAAAATAAACTCCTTACGATTTTGAAGCTAGGCAAAATTTGTGAATGGGACATGGGTAAGATGCTTCCTTCTATAAAGATGAATGCATTGTCATTTTCTCATAGTCATAGGTGCAAGCATCACAAGTACGTGACTTAAGATGTTCACAAGTAGAGAAAATTGGAGTTAGTATCACAAATGCCTACAGAAACTAAGAATGACAATTCATCATTTGTCAAGAATAGAGAAACAAATATTGTTATAGAGCAAGAGGTTCAAACCAAAAGACACACAAACAAGATCAAAAAGAAAAATGATTGACTTACAATGAGTAATGCCAGTCAGAACCAGAAAAGACATACCTTGACTGTTCGAACCTAAACAAGAAAAACATTAACAAAATCAGAGAGGCACAAGAAATATTAGTGCCGTAGTCAAATAATATAGCTAATTTCTTAGAGTCATGAAGATATCCGCATCCATTTAACTAATGAATTATGTAAGATAATACTTTCAGGATTTAAATTCCATTTTTAGCTAAAAGCTACCAAGATGCAATATCTATATTCTATATCGATGTTAACAATGTTTTCACATCAGAGTAATATGTAGTAAATGAAAATACCTTTGTTTTAACAGAAAGTGGGTTGCTAACAACGAACTTAAAAAACTGTGGAAGATATTTCCGCTCGCTGTCACCGTCATTGTACAAAGCAGTGCAAACAAGCCTAAAAGTTCAATTGCAAGAAGAACCGATCATATTATGCCATAAGGCTGTTACCATTTGAATCTTGAGAAAACTATAAGATATAAAAATAAAAAGTAACCAACGTGTGAGGCCCGAGTTCTTTAACATCATGTTCGACAATGAAATCATATCTGCCCCCAGAACGTATTGATTCAACAGGTGATTTTGATGTATCTAAAAGCAGGATCCTTTGCCTTTCTGTTTGAATTTCTGCCTGAAAGTAGCAAACTATTAAATCATGGCTTGTGTTACAAAATTTCAGAAACCAAATCGATGAGTAAAATTGAATTGATGGGCAAACTTCTGATTAAATCCCAAAGATACATTAGAAATTTCTTTTAAGAGATTAAGAGCACTAAAATTTCAAAGTTGTGTTAACTTTGAAGAAGATATCCTAAACAACAAGAAAAAGCTACTGCAGTGAAATTCTATCATCCTACATCAATGGCAGTTTTACTTCTTAATAATAAATAGAAATTAAAGAAAACAATTTACAGAATTACAGTAACAAGATCGAATGCTGAAAAGTATTGGGAATACTATGCAACCTCAAAGTTCTTCTTTAATTAAAAGAATTGTTTTATAAAATAAACATATAACCATTTATGATTCATTGATCAAAAGCATGTACAAGCAAGTCTAATACTACTCACTATTTCCTACATGGAGAACATCATTATTGACTCAACAGTCCACTGATTGAACTGCTATGCTTATGCCTGATAACTGATATAATATCACAAAATTTAAGAGTAACCAGTCGAATTTTTTCATACAACCATTAATCTACAACAACAGTAATAACAATAAGCCATAAGGTCCTAGTTACAGGAATTGACTACATGGTTAATTTCTCGCCGGCAAGCTCTATTGATGGCATAAGGTCCTAGTTACACACTTCCTAGGCGCTTCCACCCATTTAAGTTTTAGAAATCGGCCACTTACATGTTCCCAAAAAGCAACTGCATGAGCACCCATAAAGATTTAAACGATAATTTCCCCTTCTCCAATGTCATTCAACATTTAGTTTTTGAAAGAACCACCCCTTTCATTTGATTCTACCACATTTCTTGAGAACCCTCAATTTGAGACTAAACATTTAGTTAATCTAAACCAAGATTTCAGAAGAAACGATAGGACGCAAAAAAAAGGAGCTCGAGAACCATCAAACCTAGATTCAATATCGCCAGAAACCACATAAAGAGCAAAAGACAAAACTAAGACACCTTGATGATCACGTCCCTTGCTTCAAATTTCGAGCTATTGTTGACGCTGATGTAGCTGGAGAACGTCTCCCCCAAATAGATATTTCTACAGACACAACAAGTATGTCACACGGAAAGATCAAGATCCGCATCCAAGAAAAGAATGCAAAGATCAAGATTCGCATCCAAAAAAAGAGGCGGTAAGGAGAAAAGACGAGGGCGAAAGCGAACGAACCCAAAAGATTGAGGAAGGACGAGGAGCCCGGAGAGGGACATGGCATCGACGGGGCTACGGATCTGGAACCGGTCGCGGAAGGTGAAGTCACTGTTGGCGACGCGGGCATCGGGGCCTGCAGCATCGTCGAACAGGAGATCAAGGGGAAGGGTGGGGTCGTCGAGGAGGTCCTCGGGGGCGAGGAGGTCGAGCGGGTCGAGGAGGCGGAAGACGGCGTCCTCGGCCTGGAAGGAGGGGCGGCACAGCCGCATCACGCGGAAGGCGAGGGAGTGTTGGGGCGGTGAGCCGCCCTGGGGCTGACCCGACATCGCCGCCTCGCTCGGTCTCTTTCTCTCTCTCTCTCTCTTTCTTCTCGCTCTCTCTCGCTTGTGTGTGTACTTTAAGGAGAGGGGAATATTTATAGCACGATTTTTCTAAAAAATCCCTCCTATATTTGAAATGACAAAAATAAACTCCTTATTTCATCTTTCACCCTTGTTTTTATATGATAATCCACTTCTTTTTATTATTCAAAGAATTTTTAAAAATGCTTAAAAATAAAAAAATAAGGGCTCCTTTGAACATAATAATAATAATAATATGGTTTTCTTATTTAATATTATTTAGTAAATTAATATTTGATAAAAAAATTGAAATCATATTTGACTTGGATGTTGTATTGAAAATATTCAAGTACTGAGACTAATGTAGTAGTATTAGTATTTTAATATTTATGGGATGTTAATATAATTTTTTTTTTTCAAGAGTATAATTTTGTCTAATATTATAAACTTTTAAAAATAATTTATCGAGGATCCAACATGATTTATATTTTCTATAAGGTGATATTTTATTTATATATTTTAAAAATTATTTTATATTTATTTATATGATTATATTTTTTATTTATTATATATTTGGGCCATATGAAATTTTTTTATAAGATTTCATACATTTATTTTTATTGTTTTACTTATTTATTTAAATAAAAAATATGTATCACTTTTGAATAAATATTAAAAATATTAATATTTAATATATTTTTAAAATATAATTTTACCAAACAACACTTATGTCAATATATATTTAAAATAGTTTTTATTTATTTTATTTAACACTCAAAATATTATACAATTGCACATTCACTTAAACTCTTTTTTCCAACCGTATATTAAAAGTATAAATATATTTTTAAACACATTCATAAATTATATTGGTTTCTCACTAAGTCAAATTGATAATCTTGTGATTTTAAATAATAATATTATAAGATTTTTTAAATTTTTAAATAATGTTGAAATACAAATATTACCATTGAGAAAACATCAACATTTGTAATATAGCATTTAAGCCCCATGTTATTTAAAAAAAATTATTAAACACTTAAAATTTGTATTGGGTCCTCAATTGACATTTCAATTATGGGTGCACTAATAATTCTATCTGTTAAGATTGTAGGTGGAGACATTACGAAGAGGAGGATTTAAGCTCGATAGAGGGAGAGGATTTGGATGAGGCAGTGGAAATGGAATGCTTGGATTGAGTGGATTTAGAAGTTACAGCAAGAAGTATGGGTGAGGTTCAAGATCGAGAGGCCTAACCCATTATTGAGGAAAAGGTCAGAGTGTTTGATCGTCATCTATCTTGGATGGTAGAATAGGGATGGAAATCCAAGTAGAATGTAATAGAAATAGATAATTTTGAAGGGGGATTGAGAGATACATTAGTCAATTTTATGGCCTATGAGTCCATAGTGAAAACAAAAGTTGAAAGTAAATTCTCAAAGGCAATGATTTAAAAGAATTTGTTGATGTTAACTTTGGATGTTGAAGTTCTTCTGAATATACACAAGCAAAATTTTTATTATATTATGTGATTTGAATCATAATTTTTAGGATATAAAAACTAAAGAGAAACTCGAATGATTGTTATTAGATTATGTGACACTAGTTAATTTGATAAAAATATATTATGGATATAATTAAATTTTAATTTAAATAAAAAAAATAATTATGATAATATTATTTAGTAGATGTATTTGATAGGAGAGATTCTCTCCTAATTATTTATCATAGACCTTTTATATATAAAAAAAGATATACTTTTATGGACTAAAATCACACACAAAGTGGATACATGTTACTATTGAAATATTACAGATATTCTCTTATTTAAGTTTAGTCACGTGAACTAGTCAATAAGAGATTATATATTTTCTCTAATATCTTATTTATTCTTAATCCATTATGTGATTTGAATCATAATTTTTTGGATATAAAAACTAAAGAGAAACACGAACGATTGTTATTAGATTATGTGACACTATTTAATTTGATAAAATATATTATAGATATAATTAAATTTTAATTTAAATAAAAAAGTTTAATTATGATAATATTATTTAGTAGATGAATTTGATAGGAGAGATTCTCTCCTAATTATTTATCATAGACCCTTTATATATATAAAAAGATATATCTTTTATGGACTAAAATCACACACAAAGTGGATACATGTTACTATTGAAATATTACGGATCTTTTCTTATTTATGTTTAGTCACGTGAACTAGTCAATAAGAGATTATATATTTTCTCTAATATCTTATTTATTCTTAATCCATCGCTCAGAGCAATTTTGCATATTGATATAGTTCTCATTACATATTGATATCGTTATAGTATTTACCTCGAACGATGATGTGCCCACATATCATATAAAAGCCTTTTTAATAGCATCAAAAGATATATTTCATAAATTTAATTTATTGTTATTTGATTTTAAATTTTTAAGATTAAATATTTTCGTATAATAGAAGCATAAGGATGATTTTTATGCTTATAATTGATATTAAAGTCATTTTGTGTTATTTGATTTTGATTTATGAATGATCTCTAATATCTTTTCTATCTAGTCAATCCTATTGTCTAATAATTTATTATCGATAATAGTATTATTGAGGACAAATCTTTGGTGTTTATTAGCTCAATCACGAACAACGGCTGTGTATACAGCGAAAGAGCTATAGATTAACCTTGTGGTAGTTGCGGCACGTGACAGCTGCGGTGACTTGGACAGCACCCGTGCTTGCGCCGGCTTCGATCGCTGCTGCTGCATGCGGCGACTGCAGCAGCACCGCTACCAACGCGGTTGTGGCCATTGCCACTGCGTGCGACAATACAGTAGCAGCGGCATCTGCTAGCCACGACCGACGTCACGAAACGCCGAAGGCTAGTGAGGTCGTCCGGTGGCGTGTGTGTGGCCTACGACGGTCGTAGGCCACGCGTAGTCGGCATCTGTGCACTGCAACGGTCGTGTAAAGGTGGTAGAAAAGAAAGGTAGCACTAGCCGACGTCGAAGTGCCGGAGGTGCGACTCCACCAACACCAAGTTTTTGCTATTATAATAATTACAGTCGATCGCAGCCCCAACCCCTCTGAAAGGCGTGTAGAAGGCATTGGATCCAAGGGGAGACACTTGGCAAGCGTCCGGTCAGTCGAGGTCGCAAGAACAAGCGATCCTTCGGAACTGCTTTTTAATGAACAATATCAGTAGTACTGACACAGTTCAACCATCATAGCAACAGCTTTTTTGCTGTTTGATGGAGATCACAGTAGCAACATCTTCCCTTAGATTATTCTTCCTCAGGTCTGCTTCGACCACTGCTGTTGCGACTGCAACTGGCATCGTTTCATCACAGTTTTAGTAGCTCGTTCTCGTCAGATCAGACATGGAGTTATGAACTGGTTGGTGTCCAGAAATAGATACTAGTCTAAGCTGTCATATTACTTGTCGGATTGCGTATGATGCTTTCAACATACTCGTAGCAGAGATGATATAATATATGCTTTCAGCATTGGATGGGAGGAGTTTCAGAATAGTAAGTTTATACCTATAATGTTAACCACAATTTACTTGAATCCGAAAGACCATAATAATTCTCCAATCTTATAATTTCTTTACAGCTTACAACACAGTAAAAAGAAATAAAATGAACATGAAGAGACTTCGTGTTACCATTTTGTACGATCACTATTGGCTGGCTGCAGATGTGATGTATATTTGGGCAAATAAAACTTGAAATTTCTGTCGATATTTTGTCATTGCATGGGCCCTTCTGCAAATCAATCAAGCTACCCACAGATCTAATCTGTAAAAGCGTCAACCTTCGATTGCAAAGCGATGGATACTAACATCACAAAGCAGTAGAAGTCACTGTACTCGGTTTGGCAAGCCAAAACTTCTGAAAAGTTCTAATTTCACCACCCTGACCTGCAGTCACAATCACCAATCCCCAGGCTGACTTACATTGTGCTGCCATGCCTCCATTGCAGAAGTCGCCATTGCATCCAGGGCTCTGTTTATCGACTGTCATGAGCTCTTCAGGCCAAGTGGCTGAATTTCTATCACTAAGTCGATTTAAACTTGAATTGTGAATGGTACTTTGCTGTTGGGTTTTGTTGTTCTCTGCCACCAATGGTGCATTGGCTTGAAATTCTATATTCAACGCACACTGTTTACTGGAGCAAGTTCTTAGCATCTTCATACTACTGGTGTTTGGCCACGGAACAGCCACAGTCACACCCTGGCAGTGAAAATATTCATAAGAATGTGTGATGGTGGTGGCACCAACACCATTTCTTCTGCTTGTTTGAGAATCATCATGTCTCCATACATAGACATGAGAGTCCTCGCTAGCACATATGACATGCTTCCCATTGGTAGTCAAGCACGCAGATATTTGGCTGCTTGTGTTGCGAAACCCTGCAACAAAAATGTCTAACTTACATAAGAAGTTGCAGAAAAATGATTGAGCGACTTCCATAATATATCACAGGCCTTCCAGCCCTCAAAATAGCTACAAGAATAAAATAAATTAAGTCCAAGTTTGCAATGGAAAGCCTTTGACATTTAAAGATAAAAAAGGACAAGAACAAAGATGTATATCCTCCTCGAACAACGTATAAGTGGCACAGATGTACTGAAAAAAATATGAAAATTATGTATCATGAAGATAAAAACGAAAATATTTCCCAAAAATCTACATTTTTGTCACCTAGGCAATACAATCTACTAATTCACTTGGGCCATAAGTAGTCATAAAAGATGCATTTCCAGCCTTTAGTTGAAGTTGCAACACAATCTGAGACCCTGAAGAGGAGAATCTTTTGCATGCTTATAATACCATATCTGAATTAATATGTTCATTGCAACACTCCATTTAGCATAAGTTGGAAAAACAATAAAAATGCTCTATTGGCAAAAATATATAGTAATTGGAAGTAAATAAAAATAGTAAGAGGTGTAGAACTAATTTTAAGCTTAAAAGAAATGTGGGATCATATAAGTCAACTAAAGAATAAGACGGAGGCATGGCCTCTTCGTTCAAAATTTTTAATGCAACAATGTGTTTGTATCTATGACCAGAAAGGTGAACATATATATTTGAAAACAACACACAACTCATCAATGTATGATAGGCATCATTGTGACTGTGGTCATAAGATAGCAATTAGCATTTCAGATATTTTTTATTTTCTTTTCGATGAATATGTATATTGTGACTAAAGTAATTTCACGTGACCAAACAAAAAAAATGACCTTTCAGTGTAATATGCTTTCTAACCGATGATTTACTATCATCATTCTTCAGTTACTGAAAAACATAAATTAATCCAACACATCATGCACAAAATTTAAACACACCAGAGGTTCTGCAATCAAGAACATTCTTAGCTAAAGATACCCTTATGGACCTGTGCACTATTTTCTGTCATTTTCACAATGTTAATACCTAGTCATACAGCATTATCCAACATACAGGGTATATAACAACTCCAATAAGTATCCCACTAATTGTGCCTGAAAGAAGAGTATGTTTCGTCTACATAATTTCTTACGACTTTAGTAGTAGTAAAGGTGATTGACCTAGACTGAGAAGCATATCTGACAAGCAAATGTATGTTGAAGATAACAAATCCCAAGATTATAAAGGAAATGCAGGAAAAACAACTGTGAATGTGTCGAACATGACAAATCCCCAGACTATAAAGGAAATACAGGAAGAAAAACTACAAATTTGCATCTATCCAGGACTGGTAATTTAATAAGCTAATGGTTGGTATAACTCTGCTCTTAGCAAGTTCCATGTTTAAACTGGAAGGAATGTTATACTTTGTCAATCACATGGTAAAATTGCTTCATTGATATGGAAAAATAATTGGTCCCCTAGTCATTATCCTAAAAATAGGTCTATCTTCATGAAGATAGTTGATAAAAGCAATTGCAGCAAACTGTTTTACTCCTTTAATATGCCAAAAAAAAAAGTCTGAAGAACCGACTTTTATAATGACTGGACAATATAGCACTTGGTCCATCTGCATAAACTTCTCATTGTGTTTTATGGGAACAAAACTATAAAGCACTAGTTAATATTATGATTATTATAGAATTTAAACTTGTTTTAAATATAACAAGGAAATCAATATATAAAAAATAATAATTGCAAATAAATGATGACCATAGGAGAATGTTCAATCATTAAAGAGGAGTCCGATAGAATATTATCATTTTGCTAAATGATACCCATAAGTAGAATGATGGCATGCAAAAGGTTTGGGTGTCTCCAATAGTGTGATCTGTAGGGAAGTATTCTTTCTATTAAGCTGGTTATTCAACAACCTAGCACCTCAAGTGACATAATTGGAAATTGCTCAGAACTTGAGGATACAACAATTATATGATTATGAGATCACCTTACTTGGTGAAATCAAGACTGGCTCCTTTATAATCTTAACCAAGGCAATGGTTCGAAATATTCTTGTACTAAGTACGGAACAGATAATTCTACCTTTAAATTTGTGGACTAGTTCATCACCATCAATAACCCGTATTCGTGAATCTGCAGATGTTATTAGCACCTTTGACGGACTCCCAGGGGCAAACTGTTGAATGAAACTAATCAGAAAATGTAGCCATATCATATACTAAAGTTCAACGTTAATATGAACCTCAAGATCTTAATGACCTTTAATAAAGTAGTACCTGAAAACCAGTTATTTTCTTCTGCCTTGATGACCTTTTTCTATTTTGCAGGTCAACACGACTTTTCTGAAGAAGCTTATTATCTGAGAAAGGAAAAAACAATAGAGACAAAACAAGCTTTGATAAAATTGAAGACAGCAAACAACTCATTTTAGATTGATCCAGACAAATTACTGGAGTATTTGATGCTTCATACCAGATGTCTCATACAGGTAACAATTCCCCCTGTGTGAACCAACTAGAGCACCCTTCAAAATGCAACAGATAAGAGCATTACTAAAAACAAGTCTCAAAATAAAGTTAAAACTTAAAGGATAAAATATTTAACTAAAAAAGATAAGGTGCTAATTGTCCAGTTCAAAAACCTGGCCATCAGGGGTATAACAAACGGCAGTGACCATTTCATGCAAATCATTCCAATCAACAACTTGACGATCTGGAATACTCCATATCCGAACTTTATCATCAAGAGATCCACTGATGAAATACCTGTCATCAATAGGGTTGAACTGGATACAAGTCACTGCACAAATCCAGATTTAAGAAGCATTATAACAACAGAAGTAGAATCTACAAGGGAGATGTGAATATAAGAAAAAATAGATTAAGTTACGAGATACCACTGAAACAAAATTTCAACTTACCATAGTCACTATGAGAGAAAACTTTTAAACAGGAATTATTTGACATGTGCCAGAGTCGCACTGTTTTATCCATTGAAGATGAAAGCAGATACTGAAATGGTCAAACCAGTTGCAGCATTTAATAGAGTGAGTGTCACAAAAATCATAATGTTTAGTCACCATTATCTCAATACCTTCCTCAAGGAAATTAAATACCACTTAATAGAAAAAAAGAAAATCTAAAGAGTTGCAGCTACTTCTTACAGAATTTCTGAAACTAACAAACATCTGGTGTGAAAAATAAACTTACTGCATCAATGATATCTGACAAGAGTAATAAAGTAGTTAATTAGCAAATCATCATGAATTGACAAACCAAAGTATTTCAGAAGGTTAATTTAGCTTATCCCGAGATATAAGTAATACATAAGGCGACCCTTGAGTCCATCCTAAAGTTGCTTGATTGCGACTTGATTGTCAAAGTTCAAGTTCTGAGAAATATCATTTACATACAAATGTAAGACAAAGTGCATTTGACATTCTTCCCAGACTTTAAGTTACTGAGAGACTGATGTGCTTAGCTGCTCTTCAAGTGACAAAAATGTGTCATGCTGAGCTCACAATTTTTGAATGTTCAAGTCAGTCATGACAAAAACGCCATGAAAATATAGAACATCTAACAGGTTTGAGTTTTCTTTAAATTGTACAAAATAGGCCTAATAATTTCTCAAAATTGTATAAAATGGACCCCAGATAATATATATAGTATTACAACAGACATGCTCATTTCTATATAGATCAGAATATCTTCTCGATTAATTTGAGTCATTTGAATTATAAAAGTCCAATTTTTATATATCTTCTATGAGGTGGAATGTCTTCAGGTATGTTGACCATATTATCTTGGAATAGAATTTAAATATCATTATCTTGATAGCTGAATGGGTATCCTAATGGCACTATGTTCATCAAGCTTCATAATAGTTGTTTAAATATTTTTAACTTTCAAACTTATACTCTACTGAAAACTTGATTCAATTAGCACTGCTTTGAGGATTTTCTATCTCACAAAGTTTCATTGGCAGTTCCACCAACCAACTAATCTGTATTGATAATTAAGATGGTTTCTGTTAAAACCACCAAATTCCTACTGAGGGAGATCAGATTCTAGACTGGCCTACCCTGAATCATGTTAGGATTGGTCAAAGAGAAAAAAAACACAGCTAAAATTGTTCTATGAGCTAATTAACAAATAATTCATATTAAGATGTGAGAATTACTAGCACATAATAAGAAACCTCTGCGGGTTCATTTATTAATATCAAATAACATGATGATAATTTTCAGATATCACATAATTTAGTTTCTAGTCAGTCAACTAGTTAAGTACCATAAAGAATATATGATTTTAGCTTCTAGTAAGTCAACAGGATAAAGATCATAAAATTATTTCATATCTGGAAATGCATTGACACCATTCATGACCATGATTAACCATTAGATTTGGGCAACTTATTATTTTACAAAATTACCTCCTAAAGAGCAGCGCAATAGATACCATAACAAAGGTAAATATCTCATTTATGTTATAGACTCATGGTTCAATAAACTAATTATACTCCATATTATATTATGAACATATAATTAGATTAAACCTCAAAATGTATATTTGAGCTAAAATATGATAATGTAGACCAAGGGCGATAGTTTTGACTTCTCAGCTCAAGGTGAATGAGTGACTCTGGTAACCAATAGCTGAGCATGTCCTCCTCTCCTGGAAAAGTTATATTGCATAGAGACAAGAAACAGATTGCATCTCTGTTCTCTATCTAGTGATTCACTGGACCCTATTAATGTAAATGGGCACTTACGTCTTATCCCTAGCATAAATTATGTATTCAGGATATCACCTGCAAATCCGATCCCATCTGAAAATTTTGAAAAAAAAAAAAACAGACTCCCGCAATTTCTGAAAATTAAAGAACTTTGGATTTTCAATTCCCTTGAAGACCTTCCAAGGTTCAACCCAAATTTTACACCAAGAAAGCTGACAATATCCACAACAAGATTAGCGGTTTAAGATTCTATTCATCGACTTCGAGCTATAGATTCACATATGAGAAGTATAAGATGATCATGGCAATAAATTTCAGGTTATTTACATCCATAAGCAAGACGGCAGTCATTACTTATTCATTTCTATCATGAGTCTTAAATGCTGGAAAACAAAATTCCGCATCACCTATTGTCCAGATACATAACTAATTTCATCTTCAAGAAGAAAGTTAGAGAATGGTGATGTACCTGAGATTTGGACCAAGAGAGATCAAGGACATCTTTTAGGTGTCCCTGGAAGGAGCGCAAAGGTTTATCTGAAAGAGCAAATACATACTTTGGTACCATAAAAGGGTCTGAACACACAGATTTCCTACTGCCCAGGACCCTTGCTCTATTATTCTCCCAGTGGTTCCCCTCTGCACAAGCCAAAGACAATGTGAGATATAGTTAACCATTATCAATCGCCAGAACAAATGAACTGCGACTACCATTCTCTGGCGAAGCCTTTTCATTCAGCAAATCCCCCCTCGTTTCAATCTCTGATACCTTCCACACATGGATGACACAGTCCTCTCCTGCGCTTGCCAAGTACTGCCCATCCAAACTGAATTTGATGCTCCAGATGGACCCATTATGAGCCTGAATCTCCTGGCACATGCATAGACCGCTGAGTTCCTTCTGGGACTTCCCATACTGCCGAACTTTGATTCTCTCCAGGCCGTGATGGAGGCCATGGGAAGCATCCAGGCTATCATCAGTGGCCGAGCTCGACCTCCTCCCTCCCTTCTCTGACGAGGAATCCTTCTCGTCGCTGCTCTTGCGGTCGTGGCTGTGCCCTCCGGCCACCATGGTCCCTGCAACATTCTTGATGCTCCTGAGCCAACTTCCCCTCTTCTTAAACCTGATCCCTCCGGTGGATCCTCCGCCAGCAACAGCCCCACCAGCAGGGCCACCGCCGGAGCCGCTGCTGTTGGTGATTTCCTCCACATTCTGCCGCCTCATTAGTTCTTGAACAATGGGACATCTGCCGACGCACCTATCGAACTCCTCCATTGTAAGCTGCCGCCCGGTCCCGACCTCACTGAGTGTATTCCACATTCCGTCCTCGTAAAACTCCTCCACCACGAACTCACTCCCGTTGTCGAGATTCTTGATCAAGCAACGCGGGTCGTCGCACAGGTCTCCGCCGATGATCCGACGATCGCCTTCGGAGACCTCGAGAATACCGGTCGACAAGGACCGGAATCGCGCATCAAGAGCAGGGTTGCTCGAGAACGGAGCACGGATCGTTCCTTGGTGGTGCTGCTGGGGTAAAGATTCGTTCACGTGACCGGGAACCGCGGAACCATCGGACCGCGAGCGGGTCACTGCGGAGACGGGGACGGGGTTGGGGCGGGGGCAGAGGCCGTCGCAGGAGACGGATCTCGCCGTTTCGGCATGCGCGCTGGGGCCGAAGGCACCGCCGCCACGCCTGGGGCTGGCGACGGCGGGGTCACCGGCGAGGCCGAGGTGACGGAGGAGGCGTCGGCGGCGCTCCTCAACCGAAGCGGGCGCGGAGAACCAGACGTCGAGGGAGGACAGCGAGGGGAAGCGGAGGCGGGCGCGGCGGCGACGCCCGACGGCAGATGATTCGTCGTCGGAGGCGGAGGCGGAGGCAGAGGCAGAGGCGGAGGTAGAGGAGCAGGACGATGAGAGGATCCGATCCAAGGACTCGAAGAACTCCTCCTCCTCTCCCTCTTCCCCCGGCAAATTGCTGCTGCTCATCGTCATATCGAGTACTCGGATCGGGAGATGGACGCGAAGCGGGGGAGAGAGCGGTTCGAGGAGGGATTTATACTACAACGGAATGGGATGGGGGAAGAGAAGGGGGAGCGAAGACCGAGGGGACACGATGTCGTTGCTGTTGCTGTAGTTTGTAATTGTTGTTGTCGTTGGGGAGAGAGTCGCCGTCGTAGACGTATACAGTGTATACGCCAGCAGTGTACAGTACACTCGAGAAGTAGATGACTTGGACCACCCCTTTGCTACGCAACGTTTCATCGTTGCCAAGACTGAAATCACGGCTTAGCCATTGTCACATCCTCGCTATCCAAGTCGTGGGTTAACTCGGGTATCGGGCATCTTCCTAATCGGATCCGTCACCACGACCCAGCGAGAGTTGGATGATGCGGTAGCGAAAGGTCTCAAAACAAGAGAGAAGGGAAACGTCGCCGGTCGTAGACATTACCGCATGCATTCATGCTAGCGTGGTGGTGTCTTTGATTAAAGCGAGTGGTCGACGAAAAGCCTACGTGCCTACAACACAGGGATCCTGGTAACGGAGAAGAAAAAGGCTGCAAAGAAAGGTATCAAACAAGCTTCTTTTGTCAATGGTGATGAGCTACAGCAGGCGAGGTACAAGCACCACCGGATGATTGAGACTATTAATGGCGGAGCCACCCTCTCCCCCCATTCGTAGGTCTTTCCTCCCTTCCTCGTCTGAGCGGTGGTCGCAAGAAAGTTCCGAGTTCCGCCTTCTCTTTTGCAAATTTGCATGCCGCATTCTGATGCTGCACTCTCTTCTCGCTCATCGAATTGGCGAATACCAGTAATTTGCAAAGGAGGGCGTTAGGGTGAAGAGATGCGTTTGCTAGGGGTTTTGGTCCCCTTCCTCGAGCACAGTGGCTCAGGGGGTAGAATTATGGATCCAAGTTCTTGGTTCCGACAACAACTAGTCCTCTCGGCGTCCGGCCTGTTCATATGGAGGAAAGGGAGAGATTAGGGTCGCAAGAAATGATGGGGGACCGTGTGCAGTTGGCCACCTTCACCACTGGCATCACTTGGGAGTCACGAGAAGGTAAGAAGGCCCAGGTTTCCCTTCTCCTTTTCTTCCAAGATGGAGGATGACCAAAACCCATGAAAGCTCCACGGTCACACTTGCATGTTGCAGGATGACTAAAATATTGGATCCTTCATGTGATGCCTTTCATTTCATCAGGGAATAACTTCTGACTTTGGATTTCTTTTTCTTTGTGCATTCCAGGTGAAGCAGCAGCCAGAGCAGATCATATTGAGGTTTCAGTGGTTGTCTTTCCCATCATGCATGGAATAGATAAAGGGGAAGATGGCATACACACATACATAGTACATGGCCGGCCCAGAGGGAAACCTTGGATTCAGAGGTGCAAAAGCTTTGGATGCTATTGATCTGGCTGGGGTGATATAACTGGAAAGAGAAGCTTCCTTCCTTGTGAAGTGGAAGTGAGTGGTGGTTTCTGCTGGCTTCCATGTTGTTGTCATGTGCACCCACATGATCACCTGCTCTTAAGCTCACTTTTAAAAGCTGTGAATTGCAATGAATGATTGAAAAGGCACCTAAACAACCAGCATGGATAAGCAAAACTTGTATAGGATGGATTAAGAACTCTCAGCTTCTCTCTTTCTGTAGGTGTGTTTGTGATCCAAGCAGTTAAATGGCAAACAGGTAGGTGAAGAATCACGGGAAGTATGCATCTCTTTCTGCGATATTGGACTAATGATCATTTTGTGGTCCTGCCATTTGAATCCTCATGTACCCCATTGCAGCAGTAATGTTGGGCCTGACTCACACAGAGTAGGGGACCTTAGAGATCAGAACTCATCGATCTTTACTTCGAAGAAGTTACCATCAACGTAAAACCACATCGCAATCACTCGTAGGCATGCTGTCCTCGGAGAAACAAGCCATCATCATGCATGCATGATGTGAAAACTGATAGAAGAAGAAGAAGGAGAGAGACGATGGTGATGATGAGGAGGAGGAGCTTGCCATTAATGAGGGTTGAAGTGGTGTGGTGGGGGGATGATGGGGGAGCGAGTTGAGGGGGGAGACAGACAATGGAAGAGGGTCGGGCACATGGGAGGTGAAGGGGAGAGAGAGAATCTGCCATGGTGGGGAGTCATCTTTGCACGTGCCACTGTCTCCCGACCTTGACGTTTCCCCGGGGCTTCCGCCATTGTTGTAGCTTTCGTTTTGCCATTATTGGCATGCTTTTGCACGGTGTTAGGCGGCATGGGATGGGGATGCGAGTTGGTGCTGCTACAGCAGGCACGTCACCTTCTTGGCTTCCATGATTTAGTGCATGTCTCCTTATTCCTGTTGATGTCCATGTACGTATCCCTCTACTGTTGCCTTAGCTGAGACCATCTTTTTTCCTTTCGTCCATCTCATGCATTACTCAAGAGAATTTGAATTCCCAGAGACACATGAAAAGAGAGGTTTTGACTCTTAATAATTATTATTATCTTCTATTATGATATCGGAGCCATTTACTTAGAGCAAGCTCTCTTCTCGCCGTCAACTCTATTACTTCTCCACCTCCGACAGTAAAAGAAAAAGCTTTCTACTACTGCTTTTCCATCGTCAGGCCATCGATGCGATAAATCTTTCTTCCTCGACGAACGACAACTATCTTCTCCACTGCCACTCTGTACCAATGTCCGTTCCCTTCCCTTGTGGTGTCTCAAGTGGTATGTTTACCAGTACTTTCCCACCTTTCCTCCTTTGCTGTAGCCTTCTTCTCTATTATGGCATCTCCTCTGCTGTACGCTTTCTCCTCTATTGCACCTCTGCTGTAGCTTCCTCTCTACAATATCGCTGTAACTTACTCCTCTACTGCACCTCTGCTGTAGCTTCCTCTCTACAACATCGCTGCAACTTACTCCTCTACTACAGCATTGCTATAGCTTTTTCTATTACTGTAGCTTTCTCCTCTACTGTAGCGTCACCATCACCGTCGCAGCCATACTCTTGCCCTACTCACGAAGCCTTGCTCGTAAATCATTCTTTATATCGATCCAAGATTGGTACCCTTAATAGAGAGAAAATAAGATTTCCCCAACTATGTGAGGAAATCTCTCTACTCTATTGAGGGAAATTCTTTATTCTGTTAAGGAAAATACTCTCTCCTAATCTGTATAAATAGGAGAGGGATATGTTAATATATTCAAGCTATTATTTAAATATAGCTTCTTCACTTTTTCTTCAATAAAACTTCTACAATAATTATTCTTATCTTTTATTCTTTCTATCACTATGATCTCTCACGAAGGAGGTGGACAAGCATACTAGTCTCTTGTTCTGATGTCATTTTAAAGAAAGAAATTAGAAGAATGCAATTAGACATTGTCATTAAAATTGGGGACTTGTTATTATATCTCATATAGGATAATTAGGTTGATTCCGCTTATATGTTTACTTCTCTTGTATAGGAAAGCCACACTGAAGTCGTGTTCTCGTCTATCTATAGACCGGCCTGCCTGTGTGCTTCAAAGTACCCATTTGACTTCGGACACAAATACTCAACCCTTATTTCCAAGGAATGTGACCTAATTGGCTGGTGAAGTAGGATCCCCAAAAAGGTGTAGAAAGGAGACATTTTTAACTATTTGCTACTTGACATTATTATTCTAAAAGTAATTATGCATTCATTAATCACATATTTTAAGATTCATTACATATATAACGGTAACAAGATGTCATTGTAACATGCATGAATGCTATCCTACTATTTTTAACCCTTTACGACATGCTATCAAAATGGTCCACCTATTTATTGATTGAACTGATGAAGAAGGCTGAATCTAATTAGAAAGAAGTATAATCTAAATACGAAAAATCATCAATTATGAACCTGATTAGTGTCAAATAATGGTATAGAATATAAGTAAATATGGATGGTGAAATTGCTACGGTGTTAGGCACTCAACAAGCCATTAATGGCAGAGATCAATCTGTCCCATCTTTTCCCGGCCCCTTCCCTAACTGAGGTTGGAGTGAGTAAACAAACAGGCCCAGAGAAACACCAAAGGATAGTTCAATTTGGTCATTCCAATCTATTGTTTTGAGTATCTTGAGACAGCAATGAGCTACCCAAATAAGAAAACCTAATCTTATGTATCATTCACTGGTGGATTGACAAAGTTCAACATCATAACTTCCTCTTGTCTTTAAGGCAAAACCCATTGGAAACAATCGTATATTCAAAGAGGATGAACAACACATTGCTAAAGATTGAAAACAATCAAATTACATATACCAAATTTGATCCACGATATAACAAGTTCTTAAACTTCAAGGCTCTAAGGTATGTTAATGCTAACTAGTTTGATTCAGACTTATTATTTGATTACTAATTGTACTACTAGACCATTAATATACGCGTGAACAGATAAGATAGTTTGCATACATGGTGGATGAAAGGCCAAAGATGTACTACAGCAAGTGCTTAAAGCTAGACAATGAGATCAAATACTGTGTGACACGAAAGAGAGAGGAGCAAAAGAGAAGGCAAGATGGTAAACCTGCTGTTGGTGTGGCCTGAAAAAAATATGCAGCCAAGTGTAGCAGGAAAAGGAAGTATGCAAGACTGCTTGCTGAGAGACATCAGTTCTGAATCATGTAGGGTTCCTATGTTCACAGGCTGAACCATAAAAATCTGCAACCGGTGAACTGTCCTAACAAAATCAACTGTGCTTCGTGTGTGTGTGTGTGCGATCTCTAACCGCATGCCATGCGGCAGTGCAGATGAAGCAGAGGGAGAGAGGCCACGATCATTCCTTCCACATAAACCAGGAAGGAGGATGAGGAGGAGCAGAGGAAGGGGAGGCAGGGGTGTCAGTATCCTGATATGCTTTTGTCGTTGCTGACGCTGTAGGATCAGAGTAATCCATGTCGGATTCGGGGATGGTGGTGAGCCGGGACTGGAGGAGGAGGCTATTAGCTCCGTCAACGTCGTCCCACACGGAGCTCCCCGGACCCCAGGTGCTGAACCACGCTTCGTCGGCGTCTCCCCAGACCATCTCGGTCGGCTGCGGCGTGGTCACCATTGCTCCGAGGTTTGCGGGCTCGTGGATTCCCGATGGCGAGTCTGCAACGCTGCTCATGCCACCATCAACTGTGGTCTCAGCAGTAGCAGGTGGAGTGTTGAATCGGGATTCCAACTGAGAAGGTTGCCTTGACTCATCCTGCTGGTGTTGCTTGGCTTCTTCCGGAGTGGCGGGAGCAGAGGATGAGGAGGAGGAGAAAGAGGCCCCATCCCTGCTACCACCGCCACCGCCTTTGCCGAGGAAGAGGTTGGGAAAGTTGAGCCGAGCGTTCTCGCCCCTGAGCTTGAAGGCCTCGCGATCGTATGCGAGGGCCGCGGCTTCAGCGGTGTCGAAGGTGCCGAGCCAGAGGCGGGTGCGGTTCTTCGGGAGGCGGATCTCCGCCACCCACTTGCCCCAGTGCCGCTGCCTCACGCCACGGTACAGCTTCGCTGGCGCGGGCGGGGGGGGAAGCATGAAGGACTGGAAGATTCCGGGGTACAGCGATGCCAACGATCGCCGCCTCGCCAAGTGACTCATCATCGCCAGGTTGCCTCGCGGGCTGAGGTTGAGCGCCTCGCTCCAGTGCTTGAGGAGCCGCTCCTGATACCTCTGCTGCTGCAACTGCTGTTCCCGATCCATCGCGGCAGCTCCTTCGGTCATAAACGACGGAGAAGGTGGACAAGCTCCAGTTTGATGCCGACGACTTCGATCAAAAGAGATCATCTGCTGCTCGCTCTGCTCTTGCCGCGGAAATCGACTGGCACCCAAAGCAGGCAAAAGTGGTGCGGGCAGGGAATCCTCGCAAGCGAAGGGAAAGATGGGCATCGCGGAGGCGAGAGGGCGCGGCGAAGAAGCCGGGGTGGTCGAATTGGAGGAGCACGAGGGAGAGCAAGGAAACCGATCCGGGCTTGTCATCTTCTTCAGCGGCCAAAGAGACGTCGAAGCCGCCTCCTCAACGACCAGAGGCGGACCTCGAGGAGTGCTCTCAGGCAACATGCGCTGCACCTTCCCCTTCTGCCTCCTTCCGCGGCTCCCCCCCTTCTTCTCCGAGTCCTCCATGTCCCGCAGCGCAAACCGACGGGCCGCCCGCTCGATTCTTGATGAACGCTAAAAGAATCGAAGGAATCAGATGGAATCTGGAGCTGGAAAATGCCTACACTCAATCGAGAGAGAGAGATGGGGAGCGGACGGCCGGGAAGAAGGAGCGATTTGGTGGGGGAGCCAATGGGATGGTCGAATCTGATACGAAGGGTGCCCAATGGCACTTATAAGGGGAGGAGGAGGGGAAAGAGGGGACGAAGCGTGTAGCAACGCGTCGTGTGATATTCGTTGCGTGAGTCGTGATGGTCCAAAGGGGGTCGGTGTGCGGAGTGCTTTAAGAAGAATTTTTGGTTTTTTGGCGCCTCCCTGGAAAGGTCGGTGGGCCGGGCCCCACGAAGCAAGGTTGCCCCATGGACTCGATCGGCCATCCGACGTCGAACACGTGGACATCGATGTTCACGTTCCCGTGGATCTGACTACAAGAACGAATCTCCAAGCCCAGGTGTGTCGTGCGCGAGCCATGGTCCATACGCGTGGACTTTGAGATCCCTCCCATGCAGATATCGCCAGATCACGACTCTTGACGTTTCTTCGAGTCATTGTTTCGTCTCGTCCCCGTCCCTTTCCCCTTCTCCAAAAATGGCGCTATCACGGTAACAATGTCCGCCTTGGCTTCGGCTCCACGACCGTCCATGGCTTTACACTGCTCACACGACCTTTGCGCTTATCTGCACAGAAAAACTCTCCTCCCTTTTGCGGTAGGGGAGTCCACATCAGCCACCCCCTTCTCTTTCGGCAGACAACAGCACTCCACCATGGCCGCCGAGAACAAGTCAAGCACTACAGAGTTGTAATCCACCGGCCGCCCTCATCATCCTTGGAGTTTTCTTCAAGTCATGTCACATATTATTATTACTATAATAACAATATTAATATGCTACCAAATCACATAAATATCAGCTTCTACCTTATCGCTGCTCGACGCTTGTCTCTCCCCCGCTCTCCACCACCATGTACTTATTCAAACCTCTCAAGCTTCCTTCGTCTCATGTTTAGCCACAGTGTACTGATGGGAAACTCTCTATTGTGTTCGTCGCCCTCAGGAAACGCCAAGAAACTCTTTAGATTAGTCGTAGAGTGGAATGTAAGTTACCGTAAGCCATGACCTTACCAAGGACAGTGTTATGTACCATCTCTAATTGGAGGTTGAAGTCAACAATCATTACGTTTATTGATGCAAGAGTCAACCATAATGGAAGGGCGGTGGGAGTCGCGTCCTTGTCTTGGTTCAAACATCTTGGTCAAACTATGATTGATTAGTGTTAGTGCTGCTAATTGTGATATGCTTAAAGCATTGGGACATCAAGGATTGCGTTGTAGTTGACTTTTGTGAGAAGAAGATACTGTGTAAAAAATAAGCAGTTGATTAGTGTTAAGTTAATTAAGAATGATCTTAGTATTATTATTTTTCGCATAATATGATAATTTCCAAATGTTGTAGAAAGAAATATGAGAAAATTGTAGTAGAGGAGTAGCACAGAGGAAATGGATGTTGTTTTCATAAATCGAACCAGCATGGAGATCACAGAGGAATAATCTTATCCGAACGTCAATATACATAATTAATCTTATTGGATTACTTAGAAACATAACTCATTTATTCACCGATCCAAAAAGTCTATCTAAAAGAATTGCAACCTTAATTTTATTTTTTTTGGGTTGGTCAAATGTCACATTTATTCATCAATCACTAATTTTATAGTATATCTTCTTAGTAAAACATAGATGTGGTAGGTATCATCTTAATAAGAGATAAAGCAGCAAGAGAAATCATTTAAGATTGTATGAATATATATTTAGAAAATCTTTGAATATGCTAGCTAGAATTAGTGAAATGATTGTAGTTGCTAGTACTGGAACAATAATGTTGTAGAGAGAGAAGAATTGAAAGATAAAAAATTAAATTAAATATCTACAAATACAACACACCAAAATGTCTATATAAGTTCAGCTTGGTTGTTACTTTTTATATATATATTTACCCTGTGAAATCAATTATAAGATTCTTGAGTTACACTCTCATATAAATATGGAAGAATTTATACTAACTAACTAAAAATTTAGGAATATCCAAAGTATTCCTTAAATCTTAGTCTATGACACCAAAACTTAAAGATAGATATGATATTTTAAAAAAATTATATTTTAAATTTTGAGTTTTTTTCTTTCCGAAAACTCTTTTTTTGTTCTGACTCTTCGTATTATGAATTATTACCCTTCTTGAATACTATCTTTAGAAATCTTAAAATATTTATTAATTCTAATGAAATTAGATAAAGAAAGACGTAAAAGGACTTTAATAAAAATTTAAAATATAAATATTATTAATTAAATATGTATTTTTTTATGGTTAATAACAAATGAATATAAGAACTTATGATTTTATTATTATTATTATTATTGAATCTAACCTCCTGTTAGATTAAAAGAAAAGTAATAATTATAGAGGTTACTTGGGGATTAAAAGAAAAGTAAATTACTGCTGATAAATACTAAACACCCCAAATCTTCTTCCACCTCTTCTAGTTTGAAGAAGAAAGGCAAATTCTAAACGAAGGCATGCAGTTAGTGGTCCTCTATGAAGAAAATGAACACGCGGAATTATTAACATGATGACAATGTCGACCGTAACCTATTTCTTGTCAGTGCAACCTTGTGATGCTTCTTCTTTAGCACCTTTTATTCACCATGCCAAATTAACTTATTGTTCTGCAGCAAGCTTAAAACAACGACTGTGAATGGATTTGGTAAGAAGAAGGTTTCCACAAGCTTGTCTCTTCTGATTCAGAGCTCATTGTTATTCTTCTTCCATATATGTTGCGTTGAATCCAAATTAGAAGGTTGAAGGCTCAAGAATGAAACTTTGCAAACTTCTAAATGACCCAAAAGGGGTCTCAAGTTGATCTTTAGTGAAGCGATGAAAGAGTGCTACTGGTTGTTTTATTTTTTTCGATAAAAAAAATTATATTACTTAATTAAGATGTATTTGAGATCAAGGTTCGCAATACCGTACCGTACCGGTATTTCGATCTGGGCTCGGTACTGGTACGGTACGGTATACCGAGCGGTACACCCAGGTGTACCGAGTACTGTAGCACTGCTACAATACTACAGTAACTGATATAGTGCTACAGTAACTGATACAGTGCTCGGACCGGTAACAGTCGGTCCGCGTACCGAAAACCTGTCGGACCGGTACGTATCGCCCGTACCGGGCGGTACGGCTCGGTACGGCAAACCCTGTTTGAGATCCAATACACATTTCAATTATGAATCGGTGTTTGATATTTTTTTTTCGAATTGTATTAGCTTCGATATTCGATACTAATTTAGGTTAGCATTAGCACGAAACATTTGCGAGATACTAATATAATTTTTAAAAATTTAAAATATCTTATGATATTATCTAAAATTATAAGATTATCAAAATAATTTAGTGAGAAATTAATATGATTTATATTTTCTATAAAGTAAATTTATATATATTTATTTTAAAAATTATTTTATATTTATTTATTTATTATATATTTGAGTCATACATTTATTTTATTTAATAAAAATATTTATTCACATTTAAATTTATCATAAAAATATTTAATAAAGTTGTAAAGCTTGGCAAGCATCAATTCTCTTGCTTTTTTACCTGCCCTTCAGCCAATCCTTTTCCATGCTCTGTGCTAATGTGCTTAAGATTCATGGAGTAGATCATACAAGCAAATTTGAGCAAAGGGAAAAAGAGACACTGCGATGTAGCCTGCAAGAACCAATAGAAACAAGCAATCAAGTCAATGGAGGAGATCTAGTGGTAGGAGCTCATGCCGACAGAGCCGCCGTACGACGGGATGATGGAGTCGCCGGCCGCCTTGGCGTAGGTCACGTAGTAGAGCTCGGAGAGGATGGCAGTGAAGAAGACGAAGGCAGCGCCCGCGGCGAAGACGCCCTTGCGCACCGTCTCGCACGACAGGTTGCCGTCGAAGAACATGTTCCGGTAGCGGGTGTGGTGCGCGTTCCTCACCGATCCCGCGAGCAAGCACGCCTCCGCTATCACAAACGTCAACCTGCAGCAGCAGCAGCAGTCAATCCGAGCTCCTCGGAGATGCGTGCGTACGAGGGTGTGTGTGTGTGTACCAGGAGAGGAGGAAGAAGAGGAGGGCGCAGGCGCGGGGCCCGCCGGGGCCGAGGGAGCGGCCGAAGCAGAAGCACTTGCTGACGACCATGAGGACGGCCTGGCTGAGAAGGAGGAAGAGCAGGGCGCCGACGCCGTAGCCGGTGGCGATGTCGGAGTCGTACACGCAGTAGTTGTAGGTGTTCTCCGAGTCCGTCACCACCTTAGCCTGCGATCCCAAATCAGATTCGAGCAAGATGGACGGGGGGGGGGGAAGGCGGGCGTGGCTGTCAGTCTCACCGTGCTGCGGCGCTGCTCCGCGGCGACTGCGAGGGCGAAGGCGATGACGTCGAAGACGAAGACGAGGGCGAGGACCAGCTTGGACGCCATGGTACAGAAGCGAGCAGATAAGGTCTCTGCCTCTGCCTCTGACTCTCTCTTCTCCTCTTCTTCAAGGTGGCGTCGGTGGGAGGCGAAGGGGTTTGGTTGGTGTGCGGTGTAGAAGGGGTTTGGTTGGTGTGCGGTGAAGGGTAGTGAAGTGGACTGAGCACCGGCGGAAGGGTGAAGGGGTTGCGTAGGATTGATGCTTTTGTTGTTTACGGCCATGCCAAGCAAAGTTGGGTACCAAACTTAACCATCCCTTTCCTAATGTTTTCTTTTTCTTTTATATATATATCACTACAGATCACGTTAACAATTGCGCAGCCCACCAAATGGAACGAATGTATAAATTATCTATCGAATGCTTCTTCTTCTTCTTCCTCTCTCTGATTACTATATATCGAACGCTTATTTCCTTTTATTTGTCGTAAGTCAATTGATATCTAAAAAGATTAATCTTTCATGTCCAGTGATCACATCCTTCGAAGAATAATATAATTATTTTTTAATACAACAATACTCGAAAAATAGATAGGTTCACATTAGTTTCATCATGTCGAATTGATAATTTTTTTTTCTTAAGATTTATATGAATAAAATCGAGCCTCTCGAATTTATATGAATGTAAGTGGAGCTCGATCTACCCTTGTTATTAGTTGGCCTCGAACCTTAGTCTTTCCTAAATATGGGATCTCCTTTACTGCTGTATCATCCTTACAAATATATATTTTTAATATCATATATAATACTCTAATTTTAATTGAGAATAAATTAATAAATATATTCATGAGTGCACCTAGGTGAATAGCGACCCCAAGGTGGGTCTCCATTCAATTAAAAAATCTAGAAGAAATCGATTTTAATAAATTTTTGGTTTGAGGCATTCGATAGCAATGCCAACCCGATGAAGCACATTACAGTTTTTTATGTCCAAATGTTATTGTGTGATACTTTAGACACCATAATATATCGTACCTTCCCGATCATGTTAAGAGGCACAATGCGAGAATAGTACGCCCGCCTAAAGCCACTTACCATCAGTTCTTTTGTCCAACTCATAAGGGAATTCAAGTTTCTCGAGAATATACGCCCGAGGTTATCAATAGCAACACTTTTTCGAAATGAGGTAATAGGAGGAATAAACATTAGTAGACTTTCTCACTCGATTCACAAGTGAGATATGAGGCATGCTAGATGCCCACTCGTCACTTATAATATAGATTTATATGATGGAGCTAAAACTCTCTTGCCTCTTTTGATCATTATTAAAGAGACCATTGATAATTATACCAAAGGCATTTCAAAGGGTCAATTAATATATTACCACGAGGAAATGGTCTTAGGCAAGCGTGAAGAGTCATGCAAGAGGTTGAAGTAGGAGTGGTGGACCCGACTCGAGGGGAGACAATTTTTTAGGTTGTAAGGCTTATGCTCGTTCTACTATTGAAAAGCACCCTAGGAAGAAGGATGACCTATATATAATCTTCGAGGAAAAGATTGAGTACCTTGACCCGAATCATGATGATGCATTAATAGTTTCTGTGTGGATGATCAACGTTTGAGTAAAGAGAGTCATGATTAACATATGTATCTACCGATATTCTCTATTTTGATACTTTCCAAAAACTTCGGCTGTCAACTAACAACCTTCCCCTTATGACTTCTTCGTTGATGGGGTTCACTAAGATTCTATCTCGCCTCTCGAGATTTTGAACCTACACATCACATTTAGAGATGAGGCTTGTTTTAAAATAATACTAACTAAATTTATGATGGTGGATATCCCCTCGACATACAACATGATCATAGACCGACCCACACTAAATAGATTGAGGGCGGTGGTGTCAACCTACTACATGGTGATGAAGTTTCCAATGAGGATTGATATTAGAGAGTTGACAAGCAACCCAAGAGAATTGTGCCAATACTACTTGACGATGGTCTACCTACCAAAAAGGGCATGACTTAAGGAGCTATCTATGGACCCCTCGAGACTTTGCTAAGTTCCTCGCACATCCTGAGCTAGTGGAGCTGTTGATTGAAGCACCCATTAGATAAGACCTAGTGCATCGAAAAACTGAAGTCAATGACCTAATTAGATTTCAAGATAACCTAATTCCAAACTATGAAGGGCTATATCAAATGATCGAGGTCGTTCGAGACAGAACCTTTTACCTTGGGACAATAGAAGGTGGTGCTCGCAAGGATATGACAAATTATAAATTTAAAGAGATTCTACCCTTGAAGTATCCTTTAGGGTTAGATTAGGGTGACTATGCCCTGAGTGTCAAGCCTTGGTCTATTATGTTTTTGGTGCTAGTTGTAAAAAAAAATATTTTCAGGATATAAGTGTTGCATAATGGGAGGCACAAGACAAAATGAATATGAGGTGCGTGAGTCGAAAAAACCTGACTCACATAAGAAAAAACTTATCATGATATAAGGCACAAGACAAAATGTGTTTGAGATGTGTAAGATAGGAAAACTCAACCCATGTAATAAAAAACTCGTCACGATGGGTGACATAATACAAAATGTGTCCGAGATGCATGTGCCAAGAAAATCCAACCTATGTAATAATAAACACATCACGATAAGAAACAGAAGATAAAATATATCAAAAACACATGAGTCAAAATGACCCGAAGATGCGTGAATAAAAGACAATGATGTAAGAAGCAATAGTGCTTTATTTTCTTCATCAATCTTCACATCAACTTTCTTCAATTAATCCAATATTTTTTTGAATATGTTTAAATATTCTACTAAGTCTCCACTTTTTTTTATTCTTAGCCTATATTACTTTCGTTTCAAATATAATTTGTTAGTTAGACTTTTAGTCATAAAATTTTTCAAACTTATCCCAAATAATCATGGTGATACCACTTTATTTAGGAGGGAGAGACAAAAAATTGAAGTCAAAAAGAGAAATTTATCAGAGATCAACAAATAAATAAAATATAAAAAGTTAATATAAAATTAACGTAGTTCAACAAATCTATACCTACATCCATATAGAAAACTAAAATTTTAATATATAATATTAATTACAAGACTCTTTAGTTATCTTTACTAAAATATAGCTCTACTTGTATATCTTTCATATAAATCCGAAGAACTTTTTTTTAACTCTCTCTAGAAACCCTAAAAATCACAGGAACATCAAAGTTTAATTTACTAAGAAGTTTCAATTTAATTAGAACTTTATTAACTAATTTGAATATAATTATAATTCTTAAAAATACTTACCAACCATCAATGCATAACAAAAAATCAAAGTATCCAATACTTCATAACTAGATAAAATATCATTATATATATATATATATATATATATATATATATATATATATATATATATATATATATATATACCCAAGATATAAGCATTAATGATCCTGATATATCATAACTAAGTAATATACCTATGATGTATTCACTCAAGACAAAAGAATATAAAAAAAGCCTTTTCCATAATATCATCAAGATCAAATTATCACATTAATATGATGCAGATAATGCACATCAAACCGCCCAATATACAATATAAAGTATGAATACAATCATTTTCTATCCTTGACTAAACTTGCCTAGATCACATATTCCGAAGAAAAGAAAGGGTCCCTTCATCTTCTAATCAATTCCATCATGTATGATTGACCATCAAAATTGATCGTATCCATATCCAAATTCTTATTAGTTAAATTATTATATTTAAAATATAATTAACATTTTAATTATTTTTCTTGCTCTGACCACTTGTCTAAAACCATACAAATATAAGACAGTCTGTATCCTTCTTCCGAGGGATTCAATTCATACTGTTCCGCATGGTCAAACTCGGTCAACAACAAACGGAGTCCAAATAGCACAAGTTGACTAGTCAAACGGGTCAAGATTTCTGGATCCGAGCAGCATTTTAACGTAATGAATCGGCTTAACTTCCTCAAAATGGGTTCGATCAGGTCATTGAACCCATGGGCCGGTAGGTCGAATACGGGTCGGATTGGGTTGATGCTACGGCCTCGGGATCCGACCGTTATTGCCACCGGTTGGGCTAGCGCTGGACCCGAGACAAGAGGCCCGAGAAAGGTCATTACATGCCGCCGATCTGTTCTTGATCACGAGAGCACTCATCTCAAAGCAACATCCCTCCCGTCCCACTATAATGGGGAATGCGGTGCCCCTATTTCTCGGCGGCTCTCTTTCTCTCGTCTCCCCTTTCCCACCACCCGTCGCCGTCCTCGCGCAGCGGCGCCGCCTCCGCCGATCACCGTCGTCTGTCCCCGCGTATTTTCCTTCCCCGCAGACCCGCGGGACTCGTGCGATTGGGCGCCGCGCCCCATCGAGAGTGCCCCCATCGCGTCTTTTCCCCCGAGAAACCTATTTATACTCTTGAAGTGGCACCGCTTCCGACACGTCTCCCGGGTAAGATTTTCCTTCACTCCATCCTCCCTTTTCTTAGTTTCACTTTGATTTTTTCTTCGTGTACTTAAATTTGCCAAGGATTATCCGATCGCTTCTTGTTTGTGGTTTTTGTTCTCCTCCAAATAAGGTTCTTTTTTTTTTTTTCTGTTGCCTGGTGTTACATCTTATTGATATTAGAGTTACTTCATTTGGACATGTGGATTTGGCTTTTTACTCTCTTACAATCCGCTTCAAGTGAAATCAAGTGATGACGCATTTGTGTGAATTCTACCTTTGAAGTGATGCGATTTATAAGCTTTGGGGCAATCCTTTTGCTCACAAATTTGTATAATAATTTTCGAGCACATGCGTGGACGTTGACGATGGGTTCAGATATTGACGATCGATCAATATATGATTAAGAGGTGATGCAACATGCACATGTTGTTAGGCCTTATGATGAAAAATTATGGTGAAAAAAAGAACTTTTGAATTTGCTTTTCTGGCAACTAGGTTAGTTCTAAGCAAGGGTTGGTGTTATGAGATAATGTGTCAAAGGAGATCTGTTTCATGTGGTAAGGATGAATTCGAAGTTGAACTAGTGATTTTAGGACAAAGTTTGATTCGCATTGCCGTTCCTAGTGAAAGATGTCTTGAGTTTCATTGATCTTGTTCTTTCTGTAGTGGAAGCCAGAAACATTCATTTTGATACGATTTATAAGCTTTGGGGCAGTCCTTTTTCTCACAAATCTGTATAAGAATTTTCGAGGACATGTTTGGCCGTTGATGATGGGTTCAGATGTTGGTGACCGGTCAATATGTGATTAAGAGGTGATGCAACATGCACCTGTTGTTAGGCGTTATGATGAAAAATTGTGGTGAAAAATTATGATGCAACATGCACACATTATCTCTAAACTGCTATATTTAGAGTGAAAAACTTTGTCCTAAAACCACTTAGTTCTAAGCAAGGGTTGGTATTTGGAGATAATGTGTGAAAGGAGATCTGTTTCATGGCAAGGATGAATTCGAAGTTGAACTAGTGATTTAAGGACAAAGTTTGACTCATCATTGCCATTCCTGGTGAAAGATGTCTTGAGTTTCATTGATCTTGTTTTTTCTGTGGGGGGAAGACAGGAACATTCATTTTGAATCAAGATTAACAGCTGTTTCTCAATTTGAGGACTCAAGATTTAGTTGTCCTTTTCTTTTAGAGCAGTTGGTTATCTTTGGTTATGGAACTTTTTTTTCCCCCTTCTGGAATGCTCAATTCTTTTCTACCTCTTTATATTTCACCTCAGATCCATTGATCCTCTTAATATTTCACCACGGGCCATTTATCTACATCACCAAAATAGCTGACTTGACCATTCTTGATGTCAAAGAGAGAGGGGGGAGAGAGAGAGAGCCCCTCGTACTTTGTGGAGCCACTATTTTCAGTCTGGGATCCTTCACCATGAGTGGTAAGGAAAATATTCTCTAAATCATCCTTGACTTAGAGAGTATTTTCTGTTAGGATTTCCAATGATGTGACAAAATTAGCTGGGTTTTTTTGTTATTGCTGATAGGATGGTATCCACATGTCAAATCTCAATAGGGCAACAAATATTGCTTATGTCAATAGTAGGTTCATTTAATAATATATATATTCACATTCATCCTCTCATGTATAATAAGGTACTAAATTGGGGTGTCATAATCTCTCCCATTCTCAACGAGGCTTGCACCTATGACTTAACCCAATGGTCACCTCCACATTGTAATTTACCTTCAATCGTATCTACGAGTAACCATTTCTTACTTGAGTTCTTCACTAAACAAGGATTGAGTTTGCTAGAATACCAATTGTCACGACTAGACTCGATGGAAGAATTGGCCCATTAACTCGATGAGCCTGAAAACACATGGCCCATTACTAAGTTAATTAGTAATGATCCATGTATATATACACTCATATTTATCCTCTCACATTCCATTAGGGACTAAATTTGGGTGTCACATAAAATTGCCATTAATATGATGCCCGAACTTATATTATGTACATACGGAAAGATGGTTTCTATGGTTGTACCACAGATATTATGGTCTTGTCATTCAAGTATGTTTTCAATCTATTATTGATGACAACAAACATAATACTGTGTATCAACTTTCGCCAATTGACACTATCTTTAAACTGGTATATTTAGAGTGGAAGTCAAATTACTGTCATCCCACTTACTATACTGAGAGATTTACCTTTAATGAAAATGATGAATGATTTCTTTAGTTTCTGCTGCTTGTTTTGCTCATTCAATATGTTCGTTAACATGCTTATGCCAGTTGGACTTTCCAAACTGAGTCAGGTTTCCAAAAATCTATATTTCAGGGAAATGCCTCGAAAAGTTAATTATGGACTTGACTATGATGATGACTATGATACTTATAATGACTATGATGATTATCAATATGAACATGAAGTAGAAGAAGATGGCTATGACTATGATCATAATGTGAAAGGAGATTGTAAGTGGCATCTCTACTTTTCTTTTTCCCCAGTTGGTGTCTTTTTCCAGAGTGATTTGTTTATCCTTTCTTCATTAGTTATTTTTATTTTTTACCATGATCTTTGCAATAAACAAATAACCATCCTTTCAAAAGTCAATTCCCCTACTTTTTTGGCTTAACATCTTTCTGCTTGGAGCAGACATCACATCTCACCCTGATAAAACTGCTAGCGAGCCAGGAATGTGGCAATGCTCAATTTGCTCATATGATAACGATGAGACTTCGTTTTGTTGCGACATTTGTGGAGCTATTCAAGTTTATGCTTCCAATTATGGCAAAGAAAAAGGTATTTTGATGCTTTTCAGCTACAGAGATAATATGTGAATGCAATGTGTATGTTACTGCTAAGACTAGGCTTCCACTGTGCCTTATGGAATTTGTGTTATTGTATTGTTATGTTGGAAAGTTGCATAATATAATCTTTTGTACAGTACACGGTGCAAGCAGAGATTCAGGAGCACCCGTGATGGCCATGTCCCATGCACAACTATCTACTTTAACACCCAAAAGCAATATTCTGCCTGATGACTTTCAGAACAAAGAGGCCAGTTTGTATGAGAAAGGTAATCTATAACAATTTTTGTCTTGTATGAAGTTCGCATTACTATGTTTTCTGCTGTAGGTTGCTTAGAGCCTCAGATTAAGTGCATTGTTAACCTAATGTTTGTTCTGGACTTCAATCTTATATTGTTTGTGGCAATAAGCATATGATGATTATTAAATTGTAAATGGCTTTTGCTTTATTGTTTTCATTCTTCTTTTTGCCTGAAGGTATTTGTTGAGAAGCTTGAGAAATCCTGCCAAGAAAAGCACCGAAGCATTATGCATACAGTACATAAATCCTTAATTCAGACTCCTTGGGTTGGTTATATGAATATTGTCTTGTCATTTTGCCTAAAAAGTACTTAGTCCTCCTGTAATTCTAGGCCTGTTATGCCATTTTTTTCCTTCCTAGAGTCTTTTTTTTTTTTTTTTTCATTTCCAGGCACCTGTATTTGGATTTGGCTTCCTCCCTTTATATGTACATTTAGTGGTGATACATAACTGATTTGGTGAAGATTAGCTATGATTATGTAGAAGGTGCTACAAATGAACTAAGTCGTCAAGACTGTTTGATGTTAATATAAAACCATTTTTGGTATTGCAATTGTTTTCTTGTGCTTTAACTATTTGAGAAATTCTCAGCTAAGAAGCATGGATACGTGCTTTTGATGGACGTGTCTCTGATTGACACATGTTGGACACATGGATCGGACACATGTTGGACACATGGATACATGGGTCGGACACTTGCATGCGACGTTGCGCTCGCATGGCCCTCATGTGAGGGTCATATACTTAGCAAAATAAAAATGAAGGTCGTCACAAAGAAACACATACCAATTATATCGGGAGATTGTTAAATATTACTTGATGTACTCAATCTTTATTTTGGATACTTAAATTTAGATGATTTTAATTGTTTTAACTTGTATGATGATATTTATTTGTTTACATTGCTGAATTTATAAAATTGAAGTATAAATGCTATATATTAATCAAATATCACACGCACACACACACACACACACTATATATATATATATATATATATATATATATATATATATATATATATATATATATATATATATATATATATATATAAAAATACACATATCCTTGCCGTTTTCATGTCCTATTTTTTTAAAAAAATGTCGTGTCGCTGTGTCCATGTCATGTTTGTATCCCGTGTCTATGACTGTGCTTCTTAGGTTCTCGGTAAATTCTTGGTATTTTAAAATTATTTCATGTGGAATTAACCTGCATCGTACGTCTAATGATGCTTGACAAACTAGTACGTGATAATTCTTATACTTTTTGAGGCTGATCTCTGCAATTATTTTGATTTTTTAAATTTTAGTTAGATACTGTGGTTCCATTTGACCATACTTTAGGTAATATGGTAAGACTAGTTTTTCCTTGACTGTTCAGTATGGTTTCTTTGGTTACAGATCATGCATATCAATTTAGAATTTTTGATTTGATGTTGCATTGGCAATTTAATCTTGAATTCCTTTTATTGCTGGCTTTAACATATATCAGAAAATAAACCACTTGGTTGTACTTCTATTCCCAACTGTACTAGTGACTTCTGTTGTTCCCTTAATACTATTATTCTAGTTGACATAGTAAAGCCAGCATCCAGCAGGGCGAAATCCAACAAGGGAAAGGAGGTTAAAGTTTTATATCCACCAGATAATAAAATACTTGTGTCATCTGCTAAACTATCAAATACCAGTTGTCTCGATGAAAGCGAGAGTAGTCAGAGCAGTTCTTCCAGGGAAAATGTGGATACATCAACAACATTGAGCAGAAATCTTGCACGGGTGAAGTTGGATAAAAATCCTTTTCATAGCAGCAAAGTTAATTCAGAACCTCAGTACAAACCAGAGGAATGGATGTTGCTGGACAAAGAACAAGGAACTCTGAAGCAGTTAAATCTTGCAATAGTAAGCCAACTATCTCCTACCCGGTTTGCCTAATACTTGTCTCTTTGATTTTTGTGTTCAATGTCCATTCTAAACTCTAAGTTATGAATTTATTGAATACATCTACCAGGTTGGTCATGTGGATTCTGGAAAATCAACATTATCTGGGAGGTTGCTACATCTTTTGGGAAAAGTATCGAAGAAAGAAATGCACAAATATGAGAAAGAGGCTAAAGAAAAGGTACATTTACCATGTAGAGCAATTGTGAAAGGTCTTCTAGATTAGTCAAATATATATTTCATGCCTGCTGGCTTTTTTTTTGTTTAAAAAATTAGCAACAAACAGGTGAAGTGACATTTAACTGGTTAGATGGTAAAATTTTGATACATATTGATGTAATTTACATGGTCAATTAGGTTTTCTAATGCATTATACATGCAGGGTAAAGGTTCATTTGCTTTTGCATGGGCAATGGATGAAAGCTCTGAAGAGAGAGAAAGGGGCATAACTATGACAGTTGCTGTTGCCTATTTTGACTCCAAGAAGTTTCGTGTTGTTTTACTTGACTCTCCTGGCCACAAAGATTTTGTGCCAAATATGATCTCAGGTGCTACACAAGCTGATGCAGCTATTCTTGTTGTTGATGCATCCATTGGCTCCTTTGAGGCAGGTATGGACGGTCATGGTATTGGGCAGACAAAGGAGCATGCTCAACTTGTCAGAAGTTTTGGTGTTGAGCAAATCATTGTCGCTATAAATAAGATGGATGCTGTGGGATACTCAAAGGAAAGATATGATTTTATAAAATCGAAACTTGGTTCATTCCTTCATTCCTGTGGATTTAAGGATTCATCAATCATTTGGATTCCTCTTAGTGTTGTGGAAAACCAAAATTTGGTTACAGCCACTTCTGATGTTCGCTTATCTTCCTGGTAAGAGCAGTTCTTTTTCATTTTGTTGTTTGTTGGGGTTTGTGATGTGCCTTTTTCATTATGTGTATATAAGCTTTTTCTACTATGGGATACACAGATGTTTGGCATTTGCAGTAATTAAAAAATGGACTTTGCAGGTATCATGGTTTATGTCTGTTGGATGCAATAGATTCGTTAGAGACACCTTTAAGGGATCTTTCAAAGCCACTTATTCTTCCTATATGTGATGTCATCAAGACATCAATGGGACAGGTTGCAGCCTGTGGAAAGTTGGAGACTGGAGCTCTTCGAATTGGTTCAAAGGTATTGTTTTAAACTTATTCATCATCAAAATTTATTAAGACTTGCAACCATGCTACTAATATGAAATTCTTAAGTAAAATTAATGGAATGAGAACCATTATTAGAATTTTACTTGTGAAGTGCAGTTTCCCATAGACTAATAGTTTACTACTCATCATGTCATTTTGTTATAAGAATGGACATAGATGTTTAATGCAAAGACTTCAACTGACATACTGATTGTACTGCTTTTCAGCTGCTGGTATGTAGGTATAAACAGTATACCGGCTACTGACACAGCTGGCTGCTAGGATAAATTGAGAAGAATAAGGTGAAAAACAAAGGAAACAAGAAAAGAACATGTAGATGAATTTTATTATGTACCTTGCATCTTCAAAACTCCTCTTCTTGTTGAGTCTCTGCCTGCTGATGCATTGCTGCCACTTCTCTTCCTTCTCTTCCAATCTAAAAAAGAGTTCTAAAGGTAATCCAACAAAATCAGGCATTAAGTGGCAGTCTGGATACTCGTCCACTTAGACTAATTTCTTGAGACCAATGTTGGACAAAGTTGTAGAAAGAACATTCCACTTCATCGATGTCACCATCGGTTTGTGTTGGGAAATTGGCGGGAGGCTCTGAGGATGAATATCTCTATGCTTACTTTTCATATGTTGTGTTTTCATCTTGTTATGCTGATGTTCGCTCTTGGAGGGGAACTGATCTGAATATGAAAAAAAAATTACATAGATTAACTTAAGTTGTTACACTAGATAGTAATTAGATTCCTGTATCAGCTGTGGTCTACAGAAGTAGCTATTTCTATTTGCTATTTTAAGCTTTAGGAACCGACAGCTGTACCCCTTTTTTTAAGGGAAAGTTACCATAAGTACTGTGTGCTAAATTGTCACACAGCTTTGTGCTTACATGCTTTTTTAATTCTTTAAGTGTGATATGGATTGTTTGGCTATATCCTAAGTCAAGTTTCCGCATTGCCTTTGTCTACATTGTAGCATGAGATACTTGGATGCTTGAAATTCATGCCAAAAATTGGGTGCCCTTATACCAGAAAATTTGAACCATATTTATCTTGGAACTATAAATATGATGACATATTTGCTTTTTGACTTTGTCAATGTTCTTTTTCATTTGAGTGGCACTGCTTAGGAGAACTTCTAGACTAGGTTTTGTATGTTTTCATTCAAGCAGGCATGTTCTTTTGAGGTTGTTGATTGGATTAAATCTACTTGATGCATCTCACTGTTTATCTGGTCATGGCTGGCATTGCTTGTGCCATCATGATTGTGATATTAATCAAGTATACATTTACTTTTGTATTTAGGAGTAGTCTTTGATGGTAGGGAGCTGGGCTTATTGCAGGTTTTAGTTATGCCACTTGGTGAATTAGCTACGGTACGGTCCATCGAGCGAGACTCGATCAACTGCAATTTGGCAAGAGCTGGTGACCATGTAGCTGTTACCTTACAAGGCATCCAGTCCAGTCATGTTATGCCTGGTGGGGTGCTCTGTCACCCTGATTATGCAGTGCCTGTGGCTACATATTTGGAGCTAAGGATCCTTGTCTTGGACATTACGACACCAATTCTAACTGGATCCCAGGTTTGGCATGGAAATCTACATTTAATTTGTTAAATGTATAAATTAGCTTCACTTCTTAAGAAAAGGAGAAAATATAGGTTGAATTTCATATACATCATGCAAAAGAGGCTGGAAGAGTGGTGAAGATGGTAGCACTGCTGGACCAGAAGACTGGAAAGGTCTCTAAAACCACACCACGCGTCCTCAAAGCAAAACAAAGTGCTATCATAGAGGTAAAATCATGCTCTGCCTATCTGCTAATTTTGTCACTAAACTCATGGGAGATTTGGGTTATTATTGTTGGTTATGAAACATCTTTTAATGTACTACATTTTTCTTTTACATCTGATGACTGAGCTGTTCAAATTAATGTGTACTCTTTTTAGGTCAAATTGAATGGAGCAGTATGTGTGGAGGAGTTCTCGAAATGTCGAGCCCTTGGAAGGGTATTCCTACGGTCTTCAGGAACTACAATTGCTGTTGGTATTGTGACCCGTGTACTCAAGCATGAATAGGATCTCTTCCGGACAAAGCGGACGCCTAGAGATGCCGGCATTAGAAGATTTTGGTAGCCAACCTTCATTTGGTTTGTTAAGTAATTTGTACATTATCGAACAATGTACCACTTGATGAGCTATTTATTTATGTTCGGGAGCAATTATATTTTTTGTCCATTTATAATCGTTATGAATATTCAATAAATACTAATCCTGCAATTATGACCATTTTGAATGGATATTGATAAGAACTGGATGTATCTCCCTATCCCCTCAGCAAGTTATCTATCACAGACCATGAGGATTTGAAGAATGTATCCTCTTGTTCTCACCTTTTCAGATTATAATTTTACCATGTTATTCTTTTTTGTGATATCACATCTGTGCATCTAGAAATTGAGGTAGATGATGTCTGGTTATGCTTTTTTCCTGTGTATTGCATGTTACTAAGTTCTGTTTTATTGTGATCCCTATGACTGAACCAGTAGGCTCAGCATAACCAATCACCTGCCATCTCTGTTATTTTGTTTTGGGCATTAATTCTATATGGCAGATCTTTGTATCTTTCTTGAGGTACTGCTCGTGTCAATTGTATTAATCTGCAGCCATGTATGCATTCTAAATACTTGCTTTATTGACCTCGAATAGTGTCGAAAAACATCTATAGAAATCTTTGTGGGACTTGACATGTCCACCACATGTTTGCCAAAATTGCTTCACCCCACCATAATACTTTGGCTTCCAGTCTTATCCTTTGGCTTCCAAACGTCACATTCGCATATCCAACCCTGCAAGAAGAGACCTTCCCCGTACATGCGCCGCCCATATCATCCCCGCCTTACCTACCGCGCCATTTGATTGCCTGTTAACTGTTCGACGAAAAGCCCCAAAGAGAAGTTAGATATACGAAGGGAGGATTAGATCTTTTGAGGTCTGAGCCTGAGGAATGCCGACACCGGTCACCACCATCTCCACCGCATCCGCCGCCGCCCTCGCCTCTTTCCTCTTATGTCGTTCCCCTCCCTCCGCTGCCCCGACCTCTCCTCGTCCTCTACCAGCTAGCGCCTCCTCCCGGCCCGCGGTGGTCCTCGCCGTGCGTGCCTTGGCCTCCAGGCGGGTTGTCTCGTGCCAGGTCGCCCTCTCTTCCGACCTCTCCTCGGGTATAGAAGAGGAGGAGCTGCTGGCGGCGGCTATGGTTGGGAAAAGGGTCCGGGTTAAGGTGCCCCTGAAGGTTTACCACGTGATGAAAGCGCCCGACCTGGATCTGGACGGCTTGGAAGGGGTAATCAAGCAGTATGTTGGGGTTTGTAAAGGGAAGAGGATCTCCGCCAATCTCCCGTTCAAGGTCGAGTTCGAGATCAACGTGGAAGGCCAGGTCCGCCCTGTCAAGTTCTTCGCCCATCTCAGGGAGGATGAGTTCGAGTATTTGTCCTCGGATTGAGCTGGTGATGTCCAATCCGATGTAAAGATGGGAGATTTCAGAATTGGGCAAGCGAGATTGGATTGGCAAATGCTCTTTCTCTAGTTTTCTCTTGATATCATAAAATATGTGGACTATAAATTAATATTTTGGACGAGGAAAAGTAGAACGGGGGACTTTGAGGATGCCATGGGAGTAAGTTCCTGCTTGCATATCCTCTCTCTGTTTCAGCTGAGATTATGAATAATGATAATTGTTGTTTGTGATCCATTGGATGCACATAATTGGGGTTGTCCTATAACCGGACTATTTCACTTGGTATAATTATAGTTCTAGAAAGATATTTGCATTCAAGTTTCTCATTTGGTCTCAATAGATTCTTAAAACCGTAGGTTCTGTAAATAATGCTTGGAAGTGCATCAAGAACCTCAACACCCTTCTTTAAAGGGTCAAGGCATTGGAGATATTGTTCTCTCAGTGTGATATTGGATCATGAAGTTCTCCTATAATATAGTTGGAATTTGATAGTGCGACTATCTCCATTGAGTTCTCTCTCCAGCAAGTTGTGTGTTTTCTTTTAACGAAAGACATAAAAACACTCCTGCTTCTTTTGTGTATAAATCATTTGTTAGCTTGTTACAAATTATTTACATATTCTGTTAAGATAATCAGATTGCTTTTTTCTCTGCTCATTATGTTTTGTTATATACCGACACTGTGAGATGTTATTTTCTTGAAGATTTTTGGACTGGACTTATCCTTGTTTAATTGTGATGCCATCCTGTAACTTGCATAGACTTTGACATTGTTCTCTCGACATCGATAAAAGTGTAAGTTTTTCTTTCACCACTCTACATGGAAATTCACAAGATTTGGTCTGGTTGGTTAATTTGCAAGATTGAGCTGTCTTAGTGATGTGTCCTTCCATTTCTCTGGATTCCAATCTCCATTTTCCTCTTAGGTTGTTAATTGTGAGGTTTTGTCCGAAAGAAAGTACTTCAGACTAAGTATCTTATTTTGTGGCTCTTACCAGTGAATGAGAACAGGTAAGAAAAGTATAGACCTTGCATCTAAATAGATAGTTTCAGGCAGGGTGAAAACTGAGATAAGGTAAAGTTTGACAAATCTTTGTGACGTGACTTTTCTTTGACTCTTATGAACTAAATGTACTTTATCATGATCTTCATAGAGTAATATAACTGATTTAAATGAGCATATATCACCACGATTGGTCACATATATTAGATATTTTTCACATCTTATTCTGACTCTAGATGTGGCAAGGATTTGAGTTTAAAATGAGTCAAAGAATGAACTATGGGAAAATCTAAACGGCTCATATTGAAGCATGATTGCAATCACCAGTCATTGAATTTGCTTTTTCTGATTGGAATATCTGACGAAGAGGTCTAAGAGAGCTTCCATATGGATATATTCAAGAAAAGGAAGATAGCTTGCTTGTCAGTTATTCAAGTAAACTGTCTTGTATGCACTAACCACTTGTTCCGCACTACTGCTCCCATTATCTGGGCTGGGCAGCAGCATGATGATAACATTAAGAGATAACAAATAGGCCTTTTATAGTAGATTGGAGAGGAAATATGAGAAGTATGAATGGTTAGCGGGCTTGTTGAGGCAGAAGCAGGAAGAAACTCAAAAGAAGAAGGGATGAATATAAGGCCTCCCAAGAACAAAGAAACCTTATTTTCTTTAGTTGAGAGCATCCTGCAAGCATGTGGTCCTTTCTGTCGGTCGATCCAATTCAGGATGCTGCCTTTTTGTTTCTGCCTTAAATGATCTGAAAGGTCTTTTTCCTGAAAATTAGTCCATTCAAGACTCTTTCCACAGAGAGTGATCAGCTTCCATTTTAGATTTTAGAAGCAACTTTTATCTTATTCGGGAATATTTGTCTGTTTGAGGTATTTTAAGATGAGAACAGGAGGCCAAAGAGCAGTCTTTATACGACATTGTGGCCGTTTGAATCTGCTTAAATGACAATTTTGTGATTCTGTAATAGGCAATTCCTTTCAGGACCCAAATTAAATGAGAAACAGGATACTCAACTAGCTAAATGGAGGATTCCATATAAAAGAGTAATTAGACCCCTCAATGACTAACCACAGCTTGATTCAAGGAGGTGCATACTAGAACTCACTTGAAACCAATACATAATCCAATTAACTGGATCTATGTATAACTAAACCTAAAGATTTTTTTTAAAAACAAAATCAGAATGCATCAGATTTCATATCAATTATTCTTTTCATACACATCTGGTTACTTTTTCGTCGTTTCCTATGTACCGATCCCTTTTTATTCTTATTGAAGTGTTGCAAGAAGAATTATGTTAGGCTGTTTTATTCTTATCCGATAGAGGTGGTATGTACCGGTTCGATAAAGGATCAGTACACAAATAGCCCTATACCGGGTGGTACAATTACATGACCTCGTATCGGACGATACGAGGTCTGTATCGATTAGTAACAATCGAAATATGACCATTATGAACTTGTATTGGTCGGTTACGATCGAATTTCAACCATTACCAATCAAGGGTTGAGATTGCCCTGTTTCAAATGGTCAATTTGATCGTTTGAACCATTGAAAACAGTTTTTAAACCCTTTTCGCTCTCCTCTCTCAACTTATTTCACTGTCTCAATCTTTTCAAATCTCTCAAGCTCTTTCTCACTCATATCTCTCTCTCATTATCACATTTCCACTCTCCTAAACTCAATAAAGCTGCGGTTTGTGGATTGGATCAAATTTGGGAGGATTCAGAGGAAGAACACTCTAATCAACAAATATTTTACACATGTCACCTAATTTGAGGGTGATGCATAGATTGAGGAGCAATATTTTACACGTGTCACCTAAGATTCAGACAAAATGTCCTTGGGATATCTCTTGTTCCTGTTTCATCATGGTATTGTCTGGAATCTTAACTTAGAAATTGCATCAAACAGAAGCGTTTCTGTATGTAATAGTTCTGTTTTACGTGTGTTGATTTGATAACCAACTCACCTTGTGTTTGCTTGTGGTGATAAATGGTGATGTAACCTTTTTGTTGATGTATTTTGTTCTTTACAAAATGTTTCTTGGAATAAATCAACATTGGGTTTCCTATACTGGTGCTACATTGTTTGTATACTTTATTTTTCTTCTCCATTCTCTTTTCTTGTTAACTTCTTGGTTCTTAATATTTATATGACTGTTTTTAATTTAGTGCTTGCTAGTGAGACATATCCAGTTTTTTCTTTGCTGTGCTGAAACTGGAGGCTTGAAGATCCAATTTCTCTAAATTATTGTTCACTTTTTCCTATCATTTTTTTTTCTCATTTTAGATTAATATACTAAAATTTCTTGTCGATTAATACATACTGATTCTTGTTGTTGTATTTGAGATGTTCATTCATGCCCTAACAAAATTGGCAGATGTTCATTCATGCGATGTCTTGGTGCCCCTATGCCCTACTAAACTGATCTGCACCTCACAATCTCTATTTACAAGTAACAAGAATATTGTATTGCTTTGTATTTGCTTATTTACAGAAAGTCTATAGGGAAGTTCTTACTGCTTGTTTTTCTAATGGGTATATGTTTGTGATTTACTAGATTAAGGTCAAAAGATGAATGATGGTGATATCAATCATGTTAATTTGGTCTGCTAGCTTGGAGTTTTGAGTATCTGTTGTTAGCTAGGCTATGCAATTAATTGCATGGGGATGCTGCCGAATCCTGAGAGTATTTGATAGGCTGATCAGTGCTCCATTGGTTTCTACCAAGGAATTCAAGATAAGTTGATCAGTTGAACTCATCACTTGGAGCAGCAGCATAGGATCGTGACTCGGTACAAGTATGCATTATTGCGTAGTCTAATGATGTCTTCTTCAAGACATATTACTGTTCAGGAGTTTTATGTTATTTTGGTTGGATTTGTGGAAGCAATAGTTTTGGTGTATCTCAGAAACTAACAGAAAGAAACTTATTTTGTTCATCTGCTGTCTTCATACTCAGAAACTGTAAGTAACATGTCTGGATCTACATCTTTATACTGTGCATTTTCAGGTAATACCCAAGTGATTGATCTGTACAGTAGCTCATATTCACATGTAAAGTGGGCAAAGGTAAGACTCAGTGCATCGTTTGAATCCCACTTGAAAAGTGCTTCTCTTTTCTTTTCGCAGGATGGTGGTCGTCATAGTTCCTTCCACTCTACTTTTGACGTAAAGGTATGTTTACTCTCCTTTCACCTTTGTCCTAAAGATATGTGTACAATTCACCTTTGTCAACCCTTCTTGTATCCATTTTTATCAAGTTCAATTTAGAGAAAGTAGAGCACCAATAAATGTTCATCTTTGTTCCAAATTTACTGCAGGAATAATGCACTAAGGAAGATGAATCCTGTCCAATATCTGCTGGCATAATCAAAGACATGGTATGTACCTTTGTGCTCAAAGATATTTTTTTTTACATTTAATTACATCACATATATTCTATAATTGTGACAGCAGTAAAAATAAAGAGACAGAAGATGGCAGATGGGGGCGGGGGATTGGATTCCGTTGTGCAGGTAGCCGTTGCAAGGTTTGGAATTACGCCATTCAAATCCCACACAGAAGAAAGAGAATGATGAGAATCTTCGTAATTATATACGCATAATATTACTCGCAACGGCTACATTTCCTTCCCCACGCAGCAACCCCAATACTTAAAATACTTCCCTTTTTCTCCACTATTTCAAATCTCCTCCCTTTCTTTCAAGCAGCAAACAGCAGCAGTTTCTCCTCCTCTTTCCTCTCTCTCTCTCTCTCTCTCTCTCTCTCTCTCTCTCTGGGAACCCAAATGGGTCTTTGTTTCAGCAAGAAGAAGGCGTCTTCTCGCAATAGTCATGCATCCAAAGCAATCCCAAATGAGAAGAAAGCGGAAAAGCCATCTGGAGCTGCGGTAGAATCGGCCGCTGTGCAGAAGCAAGCGGTTGTCATCATCCAGAACGCGAGGAAGAGTGCCTCTAAATCTGCTGCGGCTGAAGAGAAGGTGAAGGACAAGAAAGCCGAGACGCCGACGAACAAGGTCGACAGAAAAGTCGAGACTTGTGGCGCCGACCCGGTCTTGGTGGTACCGGTGGTGGAGGAATTCAGGCCGACTACAGTCGTCGGGAGCTCGAGCTGCACCAAGGAGGAATTGGACGCTATTCTGATCCAGTGCGGTCGCCTCAGCCGCAGTTCGTCGGGGAATGCCTCGAACGGGAACGGGGGTGGCCACAGGAAGTACTCGGGCTCGAAGCGAAGCTATGATTTTGACAGTGAGAAGAAGGCGGAGGAGGAGGAGGAGGAGTGTGGGGAGAAGCCCGTGTCGAGGCCCTCCCCTCACCGGAGAACTCCCGGCAGGGAGCGGTCCGGGAGCAGGGAGAGGGGAGGCGGCGGCGGCGGAGGACGGAGGGTGAGCCGGTCGCCCGGGAGGCGCACGGAAGTCCCGGCTTCGCCTGTCGCCACCAGCGAGAGATCGAGGCAGCCAGCGAAGATGGTGGCTGTCCCGGCGCGAGATAAGAGGAGGGGAGTCTCCCCTGCTGCCCCTAACAAGAGAGGCCGCGAGACAGGAGCCGTGAGGAGCGCTTCACCTCAGCCGCGATCGCCGGCGAGTACTACTCGGATCTCCAATGAGAATGCTTCCTACCGCGCTCCGCCACCAAACCAGCCGCAGTCCCTCAGCCGGAGCTCATCGAGGAAGGCTGAGCAGTCGCCTTACCGAAGGAGTCCAATGAAGGAAGTCAATGAGAACATCCTCAATAGAACCAACCAAAACGTCAACAAGAAGATAAGAGGAGGGGAGGAAGGGATGCAGAAGCTGAGCCAACCTCGAACCCAGGTGAGCAACATGCAGCCATTTTTGTGCTTTCTTCTTTATTCTTGGATCTTGATGCAGCAGAACTCTGCAAGTCATAATCTTGGCTTCATCTGTTGCAGAAATCAAGCGAAAATGGTGCTCAAGTGAGCAAAGGTTTTCAGAAGAATGGAGCTGCGAAAGCGGTAACAAACGCGGTCAAGAGCAGCAATCCGGTAACCGACTGCGTCCGCGAGCAGCTCATGGGCTGCAGAGGGAGAGATGCACCGGCAGCAGAAGAAGAGACAGAGAAAGCATCAGCCAAGGTGGAGGTCCAGAATCCGAGGACCATCACAAGAACCAGATCCTCCAGGAGATCATCCAGAGACCTCGACCATGCTCTCGGACTGAACCAAGAGGCCTTGCTCAATCCAAATCCCTACGCTTCCTTGCTTCTCGAGGACATCCAGAACCAGCATCCCGACGCAGCCTTTTCCGTCCCCGCTTGCGTCTCCAAGGCCTTCTCCATCGTTGAAGCCGTGGCCGATCTCAACTCCGGCTCTTCCGAGAACAGGAGCTACGCCGGAGACAGATTCAGCCACAACAACGGCTCGCTCGACGGGCGGCATGGACGGAGAGGTTTGGCAACGGAACAGCCGTTCGTGGAGACGGAGATAGTCGCAAAGGACGATCTTTTGGAGCCAAGCCTCCATAGATACGTTACAATGACGGACTTGGGTGTTGGTGATGTAGAGCCTCAGGAATCTGCAGGGAGCAACAGCGTCGTCGGTCAGCCCTGGGCTTCCCCGTGGGAGCCTACTAATTCCGTCGATTCCACCGACCAATGCTGGACTTCGAGATCGAACAACGGCGACGAGGTGGAGCAGGAAGCCAGACTGAGCTCGTCAAGCTACGGCGGTCTATACCAGTGGCAGCAGCAGCCACAAGAATCTGAAACCCGAGTTAGAAGGCCTTGGGCCGGGTCGAGTGAGAACAAGAGAGACTGTTACCGCCGTACTCCGCTTCACCCAGCCGGCGCCGGCGCAAAGACTGGTAGCCGGTCTTGCTCGCTTCCAGTTTCTGCTGCTGCTGCTGCGACCACATAGCAGCTCTACGAAGCAAAGATTCATCTTTTGGGATTAGAGAAGAGAATTTGCTGCTCGCAGATGTGTGATTTCCATTCCGTTTGGTCCGGTCGGTGTAGTAGTGATAATGTACCATATTGTGTTAGAATTTAGTGTCTCTTTTAATCGTGTAGGTCTGCAAGGAACATGAGATTTGTTCACCTCCAGAGTTTAGTATCATTTTATACTCAGATGAACATAAGATTATTTACAACAGGTTTCTGAAATAATATATAATTATGTATTTTTTAAAAATAATAAGTCGATTTGTTAAGGTTTAATTGGATTTGTTATTTAAAAAAGCTTTTAAATAATAAGTCGATTCGAACCCACGCGCAAAGAATATCGATAAAAGAAAAACTTTGTTGAGAGTGGGATTTGAACCTACGCCCTTTCGGACCAGAACCTTAATCTGGCGCCTTAGACCAACTCGGCCATCTCAACAATATGTTATGTTTACTATGTTTATTTTAATTATTATAATATATTAATGATGACCTAACACACACCCACCATACACCACTCAAACTCGAACGGATAACCACCATCAGCGTGACATCTGTAGTCTCTCCTCCCTGCGAAGTCGACTCGAAGCCATTCTTCTCCATCTGCTTCCTAATCATCCATCTCATCTCGAGACGACAAATTCCCGTTCGCAAACAACAACAACTAATTCAAATCTCGTTTCAAAGTCGCGCATGCAATAAATTAAACATCTCCTGTGCGATGTCAGCGGCCGCGTTCTTCCTTCTCCATCCCCATCTCGGTCTTCTGTCCTCCCCACCAAACCCCAATGTGGCCTTCTCCTCTTCCTCCTCCCATCTCAAGCTCAGGGTTAGGGTTAGGACTCCTACCCCAAGAACCCTCGCCCGCTGCAGCACCAGGGAGAGCCCCATGCCGCCCCGCCCCGATGTGGACTACCCCGCCGCCGTCGACTGCGTCGGCACCGGCGCTGACGTTGAGTGCTACGCGGTGGACGCCGCCGATGAGGGTGATCAGCTGCTGCCCCCGCCCAAGAACCCCCCGTTGAGCTTCGAGATCGCCCGAGGCGGCGACGAGGGGGATCCCGTCGCCGGGTTGCTCGGGAAGGCTCTGGATTGGGCGCTTCTGGTGTCACCCTTCTTCTTCTGGGGCACGGCCATGGTGGCCATGAAGGGGGTGATTCCCAAGACGGGGCCTTTCTTCGTCTCTGCGGTCCGGCTGATCCCCGCTGGGGCGGTCTTGATTGGTTTTGCCGCGGCCAGGGGAAGGAAGCTGCCGGCGGGTTCTCTGGCGTGGCTGTCCATCTTCTTGTTTGGGGTTGTGGACGCTGCGTGCTTTCAGGTGCGCGGACTCGTCATTGCTGGTTTATGAAAAGATTAACAAGAAAATAAAAAATACTTGAGCTTTAGCAACATTCGATTTGTTAGGCTGCCTGAGTGTGTCTTGTTGTTGTTATTTTCTAATCTCCTTTTCCATGTGGTGGCAGGGATTTCTTGCCGAAGGATTGCAAAAGACAGCCGCTGGATTGGGCAGTGTATGACTAATATCTTTGGCCATCTCTTTTCCACTTCACTATGGGTTTTGGTTCATCAATTCTCCTCTTGTTGTCTTCATTGGAAATTGATTTTACCACTTAGTTATCTTTGTGTGTTTGCGCATAGTTAGATTGGAATACTTCTATCATTGTGATTTAGGGGTTCTCTGAGCCTTCGTTTCTAGTACTGTTGCTTGATATTTTTCTGTGATTTGTATTAATTTTCTAGAAGAAAGTTATAAATGTTAGAAATCACAAATTTTAGTAAAATATAGCTGCATATGCTATTAGTGCTTGTCAACTCTTCTTTCACTCTCTGATCTCTAGGTTTTGCATTCTGAATCTACAACAAAAACATTTTAATGTATGTAGCACTTTAGATTTGAGTTTGACTTTTGAGGTTGGTGTTGATCAAAGTGGCAGCCATTTCTAAACTGGGAATAATTATAAATCTTCCATTTTTCCTCTTTCTCTCTATAGAAGAAGGTAGAAGACTGTTAGCTTCTATTTAGTTGTTTCATGTGTTTCATGTAAATGGTAATCATGTAAATTAAGAGTATGCTTCTTCGAAAATGATACTTGGAAACTATTTTTGGTTATATCTAGCAAATATGGAAAATGTAATTGTTTAGAACGAAGAATTGTCCATAAATTAAAAATGTAATTCGATGCTTTTTTTGCTTTTGTTTTCATCTTGGCTGTTGACTTCAGCTTTTAAAATAAATTGCAGGTTATAATCGATTCACAACCTTTAACAGTTGCTATACTTGCTGCAATCTTATTTGGAGAATCAATTGGTGCCATTGGAGTTGCAGGGCTCGTACTTGGTGTTATTGGGCTTCTTCTCCTGGAGGTTAAATTATAATAGTTGGATAAATTTTCTATGGTCTTTGAGAATTTGCCTTAAAATGCTTGATTGAAGCCATTAATTGACTTATTGGAACAAATTTTTGGAAGTTAATTCAGCTTTGTCCAGCAGTATTATGGGAAGACAATTTGATTTCAATGGATTTCATCTGCCTTTCCCTTATTCGAACAAAGCTTATTATCATAAATAGTCTTTTGGTACTGTCAGACTGGGTTCAAATTGAATTGACATGGACCTGACTGATTTTCTTCTATCATTTTAACTTGGAACTGTGTGGAACTTTCAATTAGAGCCTTGAACATTCCTGCAAATGCTTTTGTATTCTTTTTTAAATCAAAATAAGGGACAGTCTCTTTATCCATTTTAAAGTCTTTGCTAGCATTTATGTTTATGTTAAAGCTGGTTGTATCGATACGGTCTTCTTGTAGTGTAGTTGATTATGCTGATAATTATCGAGAGGCGTACTTCCAGTTTCTTGACTGAATAATATCTATGGTTATTTAGACCATGTAATGTTAGTAGACATTAGTTAATTGTAAACACGATATTTAAATGTTAATTTTCTATTTTTATGTATCAATATGGTCTTATTGTTGTTTCTTGAGCTTCATTGTAACCTGCTTTGGAGAAACATTACCAAATTATTGCTATACTTACGTTAATCTGTATTCTCTTTTTTTCTTTCTAGTGATTCATTCTCTTCAGCTGATCTTAATTAAGACTTCTCTAGTAGGAAAGTCTAAAGGACATTGCTCACATCATGGTTCATCAGTGCAATTAACTGTTCCTTTGAATTTAAGCAATTAGTGATGTCTATCATACAGGTTCCAGCACTTTCATTTGAGGGAAGCAATTCAACAATATGGGGCAGTGGAGAATGGTGGATGCTTCTTGCAGCTCAAAGTATGGCAATAGGAACTGTCATGGTCCGCTGGGTGTCCAAGTATTCTGATCCTGTCATGGCAACTGGATGGGTATGCCACACTAAGATGAATGTGAATGTAGAATGTCATCAAAATGCAGTTTGTTTAGGCAATAATATGCTATTTCTCAATGATTTATGAATAGCCAAAACCTGTTTGATGGTTAATGCTATTATGTCTGTGCTTTCTTCTGCCTTCTTTGGTGTTAAACTCAAGGATCACTGTTTCGGGTACCGGATCCGTTTCAGTGATTTGCTAGACCAGTACATACTGGTCAGTACCGATGTACCATGTGTCAGTACACTGATATGTACCGGTGTACCATGTGTCAATTCACCGGTATGCATCGATGTTTTGGAAAGGAGGAAAATGAGGGAGAAGAGGGGGCGATGGAGGAACAAAGGAGGAAGGAGGAAGGAAAAAAGAAAAGGAAGCAGTGGAGGAAGAAGAAAAAGGAAGAAGCGATGGAGAAGAGGAGGGAGTGTACCTGGGAAGAAGAAGGAACATAGTGGCAATAACAAAGCAGCAAATGGTGGCAACGTTGGACGCAAGAAAAGGGCTCGCATTTGCGAGCCCTAATTTCTATTTTAGGAATTTTTTAATGTCGAGTTGGACAGGCCCCATCGCTTTTTTTTTTTTTAATTAATTATTTTTAGTGAACTGGATCTAGCTACCTGAAACTGGGGTGGTCCGTGTACTGGCCCATGCTTGGACTAGTATGTATCGCTTGTTTTGTGATCTGTATAGAGTTTGGGTTCAATAATCCGTCGACTTGATACCACCTTTCAAATGGAAGTTTTGACGGATGAGAGAATTATCGTAGAAAAAATCAAGTGTAAAACCGAAATAAAACAATATCTATTATTCATAAAGTTAAGGTTCTAACTTCGAAACTTGAAACAATGGAAATAGAAGTATGAAAGAAAGCTAATCTGTGCATGAAAATGCATGTTATTTTTGGACAGTATGTCGGTGCTCTCGGCAGGTTGCGGTTGCTGTTGATCTTTGGCCTCCTCTTCTCTTTGCTGTTGGAACCTCCTCCTGAGGTTTGGACAATAGGCAATAGGCGTTGAGGACTTCTTGTAGTAACTAAACGAAGCTTTGGATCGAAGCTTTGGGCTACTGGAACATGAGGAAGAAGTCTACGACTGGAAGAAGTTCATTGCAACAGTGTAGAATTCTTCCCTCTCTTCTCCTCGTTGCACTAAGGCTGCAAAACTAGGGCTGGCTGGCTCTTTGTTGAAGGCTTTCTTTCGCACGTTTTAGCAACCCAAAGCTTCGTCTAACTGCTACGAGAAGTCCTCAATGCCTACTGTTTGCTGTCTAAATCTCGGGAGGAGGTTCCAGCAGCAAAAAGAGGAGACAGAAGACCGACAATGACCACAATCTGCTGAGAGCCCCTACGTGTTGTCCAAAAACAACCTGCATTTTCATGCACTCATAAGTTTTCTCTCAGACTTCTATTTTCATTGTTTTAAGTCTCGTAGTTAGGACTTTAACTTTACGAACAATAGAGGCTGTTTTCTTTCGGTTGTACGTTTGGTTTTTTCTGCGAAAATTATTTTCGCTAAGACTTCCATCCGAAAGGTGACCTATGCAATGCGCTGGTCATCTTCATGCGACTCATGGACGATGTGCTACACCCTTATATTGGAGATTTTGTCATCAGCTACCTCGACGACATCCTCATTTACAGCAAGTCGTAAGAAGAGCATTGTTACTAAGTTGTGAACTTCTGGAAATTCTAGAAGGCGAGTGATAGGACATTTGCCCAAAGACTCATTGTTGAATATCATTCGTTTTAAAGCAATTTGTCACTCTTCTAGTGTTACTGAATGATGTTGGAAATATGTCCTGTTTCTCAATCTACGTTACTCAAAAGTTAAATGCAACAACAGTGGTCGACTCATTTTAAATTTGAGGTTTTCAGAGCGGGAGAAACATATAAAGAAGACTTGAAAGTAGTGAATGGACATTGTGACCATTGATTGTAGGCTGACATAGTTGAATTTTTAACGCATTGTAGATTTCATGATGTCAGCATATGGTTTGGACAACTTAAACACATTAGGGAACCTTTTCTATCCTTTTCCTTAGAAGGCTTATGTTTGAACCTCAATGCTGACTGGATTTTGTGTCTTGTTACTTTGGCATCATTCTTTCTAGTATGTAAATTGTCTTTTGTTGCTTTGAATGATATTCAAACCAAGCTAATCCTTTTTTTTTTGCAGCACATGGTTATTGGTGGGCTTCCGCTTTTGTTTATTTCTGTACTCAATCACGATCCTGCTATGAATGGGAGATTAGTAGATCTTACATCCAGTGATATTCTAGCTCTTTGCTACACATCTTTATTTGGATGTGCAATCAGCTATGGTGTATTTTTCTACAATGCAACCAGAGGTTAGATTGTTCTATCTTCATTTATGATTTGTTGTTGGTCAATTGTATAGGCTTCTTTTTCTGGGTGCTACCTCTGAAAATTCTATTTAGTAGCAAACAAAATGAGGCGCCTTGAGGCTTCAAGATCAAAGTCTTTGATAAATATATTATAGCTGTAATTGGAGATAATTTCTAGTCTTGGCTAAATGTGTGGGGCATCTGCTGCTGATATATATGCAGGTAGCTTGACGAGGCTCAGCTCCCTCACATTTTTAACTCCAATGTTTGCTTCAATTTTTGGGTAAGAGTTCATTTTTTAAAATGATGTCTCTTTGCATATCACTTGAATCAATGATCTTATTTTGCCTTCTTGATCTTCAAACCATAGCTGACTTGATGGACGGACTACTAAAGTAGTTACCATTTCATGGAGACACTAGTCTACAAATAATTGCGTGATTGTTAAGAAATATATAATGTTCTCAACTAACAATGTCAAAATTTGTCATCAGGTACCTATACCTTGGTGAAACGTTCTCACCATTGCAGTTGGTTGGTGCTTTAGTTACTATACTAGCTATTTATATGGTGAACTACCGTGGCATATCTGACAAAGCATGAAGAAATTAGCAGCTGATACATCAATTGGTGGTAGGAAATTATGGGAGCAGTTATTTGTAAATTGGAACTGCATTGACGTTTGACAATGCAGTTTGAACCAGAAGTCTAGGCGAGTAAAATAGAAGAAATCAAAGGTTACAAGTTTTTGTCCATATGTTTTTTTTAGTGGATATTGAAGATTTTGATGAAGGTTCCGGCTGTGAATGAATCATTAGTTGCTGGATGTTAAAAACTGGGTTATGATGGGATACGACTCCAACGATGCAGCTCAGGGTTTATAAAGAATCAGGCACTTTGTGTTTTGTTTTTGTTTTGTGATGGACAATTTGGTTGGTTCTGCACTTAATAATGTATTTTTTTTACAGGTGATGACATGCCATTGATGACTTTGGCCATCTATTTTGTACTGTATTGTTAATACATGTAACTTTTCTGGTTTCTTGAAATTGTATAATCATTTTGATGAAACATCTGCTTTTGTCATTGTAAACCTATGAGAGTTTGGCTCAACTGTTTGGTTTCTGCTCTGTTTAGGGAGCATCCAAATGTCTAGAATGTTGTCGATTATATTTAGTGGTTATGTATGCATTTGCTATAGCCAATTCAGCTATGTGCATGAGTTTCCCCAGTAAACAGCAAAACAGGGAATTCTTGTAGTTAGCACTGTAGTTTCTATATGCTTATGGTTAAAACACTGGGATGCAGGTTTAGAGAACAAATGCTTAAGGAACTTAGCAAACCGAAAAGTTCCTCAAAAATCTCTAAATGTTGTTGTTCACTTCCCTGCATTCAACTCCATCTGTATGACAAAACCTCTTTCAGCGTGTAAAGCAATATTGAACTTTCTGAAATCACTATCTTACAGCTTTTCATGTATATATATATATATATATATATATATATATATATATATATATATATATATATATATATATATATAACACTGATAGCTCTCGGTAGGAATCAAGAAATACATATAGGATTATGTATTGCTGCTGGATGCTCTCATGTGTATGATCATCTTGTGCTCTATTGCGAGGCCAAGGCAATTAATTCTGGATGGACTAAGGATCATCATTCAACAGGAATATCTAAAATCCACGTCGAAATAGATGCAAAACTTCTCGTTGACATCTTCAACAAGTCTTTATAAAGACATCAAACTGTTCCAATGTCTTTTGACGAAATCAAGTATACTCATGTCTATAGGTAGAGGAATGAACCTACATATTGGCTCGACTGACGGCATATCCATAGGTGTAGTGTGACAAAGGGATTGACCAACTGACTTCAAATGAGACTTCAGCATTCCATATAATTTTGCTTAAGCTATATGAGTTGTCTGTGGGGATCAAAGGTTTCATAGTATTGGTTAACACATAACAAATAGCTGCTTTGATGTCTCGACGTCTCAACGACACTCACACGGCATGATCAAAGGCACCAATCCATACTATTCTGTGCTGGAAACGTTGTTTATTTGTTTGTGTTGGTGAGTTTTGATCTCTAAGACGAGATTCCACCTCCATTAATGGACCGGAGACTTGTGCTAAGAACATGCATGAGTTTGTGGACTGCAAGAGAAGACTTGTAGCACTGGCTCGCCACTGCAAGGCATGATCTTTAGTCGAGGACAATCGTGGCAATGAGGCTCCAACGACGCTTTCCTCGTCCTTTCGTTTTACAGACACCTAAAGTTGGTCATACGTTATTGTCGAGGAAAAAGATCGAACACAAGGTGATGGCGAGGCTCCAAGGTGGTCCTCAACCCACTACCTCCAATTGCTAATGATTCCAACCATGAGATGGACCGGCACTGTTGCCACTGCTCGAGTTTGTCTGCTCTTTTGATCGCTTTCAGTGAGGCAACAAAGAACGGCGTGCGTGTAAACAAGGAAACTCGATGATCTTCTCTTATTTTAGCCTTCACGGACAGAGTTCAAGATGAGGAGGAGGAGGAGGAGGGGGAGGAGGATTGTCTCTGTGCAGAGATCTCGTATTTAGAATCTTGTTCATGCAATTACTAGTGGAATCACATCCTACATAGTTGCAGTGCATACTGGTGCAGACTGGGCTTGCGCACGTCTGCACTACTCCCAAGCCTTGGCTCTACCGCGGCGTCAGAACGTACATCTTGCACGCATGAGGAGCCACCGTAGCAGCGAGCTGCCCTCGAACGGACCCGATGGTCGCACGCTGCAAGAAGGGAATTAGGTCGAACGGTTCATGCACAGTAAGCAATGAAGCTTGTCACCGATACTTACCGCCCAAAGATCACGAACACTGACGGCGGTGGAGGACGAGAGGCCGATGTCGGACCATCTCGCTGTGATCGTCGCCCGCGAGCTTCCTCTGTTCCAGAGGACCACAGCCACCTTCCCTCCACTCAACCGACCTGCCCAAACCTACACAAGCAGACAACAAATGTGTGAGCTAAGCTAAGAGAGCAGAGCCATTAACGTCAGTCATGTCTTAAGGCAGTGAAAGAACCAGACCTCTTCGCTGCCTCCACCGAATACCTTCTTCCCTTGAACTCCAAGGTAGTCTGATGACAGAAACCAATCAGAACAATCACACACAACCAGAATAGCGGTCATTGACCTCTCACCTTGATTGACTGCAATGACCTCTGAGTTGCTCAGTATCTCCAATGCATCTCCGCTAATCGTCCTCACATCACATCCAATCAACAAAGGAGCCTAAAAGAGTTTGCAGCAGGAGATTTGGTCATGTGTCTCTGTCGATGCAGATTAATGCTTGGATCTTACCTTGACCAATGCCCATATACTAAAATGCGATCGATACTCCTCCGTTGACATGCCACCATTTCCTACTTCCAGCATGTCTGGATCTGCATGATTCAGGCAGAGGCTCAAGCAGTGACCCATAATAAGCAGCAATGTTTCGGGCAGAGAGTAGTACCATTCCAACCACCAGGCCCGGCATAGGATGCCCATCTGTTGTTCTCATCGGCGCGCGATGTCATGCTAAAAGGATGTAAAATGCATCAGTTTCCGAGTGAGATCGGAGAAGTCTAACGTAGATTCCAACCTGCCCCAGCTATCGTAGATGTCGCCTGTTGTCCTCCAACTGTTGCCTATACCGCTCGCCCAGGTTGCTGGGTTATCATCACCCCTGTGATGTAGTTTTTCCAGTGAAAACAAGTCAAAATCTCTGTTGACAAGTGTTCCTATTTTCTTCTTGTCAACATACTCGATTTTCCTGATGCAAAGATGATTCTTGGATCATCAGAACACAGACTTACCACTCGCAAAGGGAGAAGAAAATGTTCCTTCCAGAATTCCGAAGAGCGTAGCTCATCTTGGCATACCTGTGTCGGCAGAGCAGCAAAGACAACTCAGGGAGCAGTTCAAGAGTTTGCATCACTCCTAATATATCCAACTACTAAAGTATATGTTAAATTGACATGGAACCAACATCATCTCTGACATCTCTGACCGTGGAGCTACCTACCTTTCTCTTGGCCTAGTACCAGGGTTGTTGCAGTTGTCATACTTCAAGTAATCAACCCCCTGAAACCAAAACCAAGAAGACGGCGAATGGACTACATAACAAGAAGAGAGTAGCAGCTAAAACATCCAAGCCAAAGAAGCATGCATACCCAGGAGGCAAACGTCGTTGCATCATGTTGTTCATATCCGAGTGACCCAGGCATAGTTCTGCTGCATGTCTGTGACCTGAAATTTACGACAATGGTGACAGTCAAGCGACCTCCAGACTTACGATGGATGAAAACTGTGGAACTGATACCGATGCCGTGGATCATGACATGATTCTAGCAAAATTCTTTTGTTGATGTGCTATGATGCTGTAGTCTGAAAATTAATACCCTGCATCACTATAGATTCCAAGCTTCAGCCCTTTTGCATGCACGTAATCTGCAAGAGACTTTATTCCGGAAGGAAATGTTGATCGCTTAGCAACTAAATTTCCCTGATTAACCACAAATGCAATAACGATTAGTGTGGAATACAAAAGGAGTATTATAATATTTCCAATGTGTACTTTTGATCTTTTTCCTAACATCTTAAGCTTTTCTATATCAAATATATATATATAATAGAATAATTATTAAATATGAATTTGGAAAGCAGTAGATTGGTTGAGCACTTGGGACAACTGAGGGAAGAAGAAGCGCAAGATGACAATGTTTCGATGCACTTGGAAGCGTCCAGCAGAACAGGGATGACAAACCAGTGGTACCGAGATGGGTGTCTCATATGTACTTTAGTGGGAGAAGACACCCCCAGCTACAGATGATGATAGCCAACACAATCCATGGCAAAGGAGACAACATCGGACTTCATTCTCACCTGGTAGTCTCTATTGGCTTCTCCCCAGCAATCATCTGATGGTGGTCCAATATCCACAGCAAAACCAGAAAAACCTTGTCAGTGAACCAGAAGAAGAAGAAGAAGAAGATTAACTTACAACTACTGAAGAAGTATATATAGAGAGAGAAAGAGAGACCTATGTTAACGTAGCGATAACCCAACCCTGCAAGTCCAGTATGCACCAATGCATCAGCTGCATAAACCAGCAAAAGATACGTCATACTTCGTCAAGAAAGAAAGCTTCCGTGTTTAGTGCTTTTCATTCTTTTATGTACGTGTCTAAATGATCGTTGTCATGACAGACTGCATCGCTTTTCTCGATCTTAGGTAGTCAGTCGGTCACAAGGAAGAAAAAGGTGTTGAAGGCGTTTGTCTACTATTAGTTGTTCTCTCTAATGCGTGGTAACGTGGAATGTTTCTGACACGAGTTGGGTCCAGACAAAAGTCGTGGACGACTCTAAGATCATTTGTTGACTCAGAAGAAATGGGGGGATTCGCTTCCACGCATATATGTTTAACGGGATTATTGCGTGACTTTACATCACATCATGGATTAGGTCGAGTGGGTATATCACCATGACCACAGCCTAAAACTTCATTAAACAAAAGAGAAGAGTTATACCAGTCTCTCTGATGAGCTGCTCGTTGATGTTGCAGTGGAAATGGTTCCAGCTGTTCCACCTGATTTCATTTTCAGATAAATATCATCTTCATCGATTATATGTATCGAGATAATTGAATATCTTTGATATAGAGCAAAGTTCTCGCTCAAACAAGATTGAAACATCGAACTATAGAATAAAAATGTTTCTTTCGATCACAAATGCAGCAAAAAACATTAGATAATAATCAAGGCTGATGAATAGATCAAAGAAAATCCATAAAAGGATTCTGAACACAGAAAGAAGATAAAAAGTTTACGGTGAATATATAACGAGGGTTGCATGCAGCCTGTGAAGAAGAAGAAGAAGAAAGGAAACTACATGGTTGGGAGAAACAATTGAAGGAGTTCCAAAGAGAATGTCTACCCCATGGGAGGAGTTCTGCCGAGGCCATTCCCCAGCACACTTCTCCTTGTCTCCACCGTCGCGCTGCCACCCATCACCGCCGTCGATACCAAGAAGAAGAAGAGTAGGCGGGATGTCAACGTTGCCTCACCTCCAAGTCTAGCCATCCTCTCCCACCCGAAGCCACCCACTCACTTGAAACTACGCCCACACACGGACTGTTATATAGAGTGTTGATCCCAAAGCCGCATGTATGACTCCAAGAGAGAGAGAGAGAGAGAGAGAGAGAGAGAGAGAGAGAGAAGAA